TTACTCTGGCCAGAGGTGTACCACTGTACCCACAAGACACAACCCCACATCATGTCACCATGTGCCTCAATACCACCACGGTACCTCGGAAAGGAGTTGTGACAATACCCCTTGCACAACATAATCCATTACAGCGCACCTTTCCTGGATCATAATCACCCCCTCAAAAACCAGAGGCATGGACTCTCCAGCGACCCCCGTGGACTTCTCGCCACTTCTCAGTCTGGCGCACTATAATGAATCACGCTATACAAAAGATAAAGCCGTTGCCCACGCTGGCTTGTGGTTGGCACGGTAAATGTCTCACAACAGTAGCTCGCGAACCGGTCCTTAATTGTCATGAGCACGACTCTCAAAACCATGTGCTCACAACCCACCATTATCAAGTTTTAGTTGGCAAGTAATTAATTAACCAATCACGATTAACCATCGTGAACTATCATTAAGCCATCCTTAAATAATAGTGAGTCATAAGTTATCCCAATAGTGTGCTAATGTTTCTAAGCATGGCTAAGCAATCATAACTAATATCTAGCTGAACCAATATATAAAGCCCAACTAGTCAAGTTATAATAACCCAAGGTATCAAGGAATAAAGTAATCAATGCAAATTGGCCATAACAAAGGAATAAGTTCACACCACTCGGTGACATTCGAAAATAAATGCACAGTTGAAATAAATAGAGAATTTAAATATAGGATCAACATGCTCAAAGGATTGTGTTTAGGATCTGTGTGACTTGCCTTGCAATAATCGGCCTTCAAGTAATCTTCTTGATCACTTCCGACGCACTCACGAACCTTCGCAACGACGGAAACGACAAGCTAACACGCAAAACGAAGAAAAAGACTAATAAAAACCAAATAAACAGTACATATAAAGTAAACAAACATGTAGATCATGATTTTAGATGAATTTAGCAACTTGAACCACTCAAAACCGAGTTACGATGATTTAGTTATGAATTTCCGAAGATTTAATCTATTAGAAAAAACTGGAAAAGGAGAAGATGATGACGTCATGATGACATCATCAATGGCCGGACCAAGATGGCGACCTCGCCGGAGATAGAGCGACCGGCTGCGGATTTGGAGGACATGAACACGTAGAGGACGACGAGACGAACCCAACGATACTCACCCTCGTGCCAAACGACGACCGACGACGGCCGGCGACGAGGAGGCGACGGCGGCGGCTCGGGTTGCACGGGGCGGCGGAGCTCCGATGACCGGCGACGGAAAAGGAAGGGTGGCCGAGCTTCCCCTCACCACGGCGCACCCAACGGTGGTGACGGCGACCGGCGACGACGATGGAGACGGCGGCGCGGCGGCACCGGAGATGGCCGGCGGCGGCGGTTTGCTTGGCGGCGGTGGCGACGGAGCTACGGAGCACGGCAGAGGACGGGAGAGGGGGCAAACGAAAGAGGAGGACTAGGGGGTCCTATTTATAGCCTTGGATTGAAGAGATCGGACTCCTCCCGCAAGAAATCGATCCGGGAAATCAAAAACTCGGTTTTGGAGATAAACTCGAAAACGAGTTTGATTCGGATAAGATACTCAACGATTTGCTCCGATTTTTGGGGGTAAAGATAGAGGAGGATAAGAGGAATATTTCCCCTCAACAAAATTGGAGAAAAAGAGCAACGGGGAGGCGAGAATTGGAAGGAAGAGGCGGCGGCACTGTGCACGGCACGGCTGGCTCGGGCTCTGCCTGAGTTGGAAGATGAACAGTAGCGCAGGGAGGGAAAGTAGACTTTTCCGGCTGAGCTGAGAGGAGAGGAGGCGGCTCAGGTTGGGCCGGCGGAAGAGAGAGGAAGGAAAGGAAGGAATGGGCCGAAAATGGCCCAAGCTGAGGAGGAGGATTTTATTACTTTCCCAATTAAAATAATCACTTAAATGATCTTTGAATTATTAAAAATACTTCCAATGCTCAAATAATTTCAAGAAAAATCCTGAAAATACTTGGACACTCAAAGTACTTAAAAAAATTACAATTAGACCATTTAATGATTAATTTAATATGTGGGTAATTACTGAAATGCTCTTTGTATGATTAAAAATTAGGAATTGAGCTCCGAAAAATCCGAGAAAATTCCAGAGAGTATAATTAACCATGGAGAATTTAATAAAAATTAAATCCATCCATGCTTTATATTTAGGAAATTTTATTTCCCACATTTAACTTCACTTGTAAATTAATGAACATTTAATATAAATTCTATTATTAATTTATTAAACAATTTATAAATCCTGAAACGAAAATCAGGATGTGACAATCTATGTAACCGCAATGCAAATAGTTGTATCATGTTCAAATTGTACTACTATTTCTTCATGTTACATAATTCTCCTAGTTTAAGTCCATATAATGTTTCTACGACCCAGACTGCGATAAGCCTATATAAATTATCCGAGTACTAATACGTCGAATAAGGTACAAAATAATACCTCACTTAACATATGAAATTGCGCAACAACCAACTTCAATACATTTTTATAACAATATTAACAAGTTTTACCAATAAATACTTCTTTATTTATTATTAACATAACATAGAAAAATCTTTTGGCCGTACTTTTTCATCTGGGTCCTTTGCCGCCCAGGGACCCAGATGAAAAAAGTACGGCCGCAAGCTCTTTATGGGCGGCCAAAATTGCAATTAGCCCCTTGCCGCCCTCTGTACGGGCGGCAAGGGCCTAATCGCAATTTTGGCCGACGGCAGCAGACGGCGCGGTCGACCCACCGTCTGCCACGTCAGCTTGCCGCCCACCATTAGGGCGGTAGGGGCTATTTCTGCAATTTTTTTGGTCGATAGATTATTTCTGTAAATATTAAAAAAAAATCTAAAAACGAAAAAAATTCTAATCATGGGCTGCTCAGTCTAAAAGTACAAAATAATGGGCTATCGAATAATGATGGGCTGCTCAGTCTACCGCCCCTTGCATTCTTCATTGAAACAAGTTCACTTAACGTTAACGTTCCTTATCTTTGTCATCAAGTTTTAAAATCGTCTCTGAACTGGAATATCAGATAAAATACAGCTCTAATCTTACATTCGACCCGCATTTCAGTAAAACAATATATTCTTCTTTATCTCTATCCTCATCTTTTACCCTTGGCGGCGGTAGATGTGGTGGAGGTGCACGGGCAATAGGGGGGCGAGGAGGTGGTGGCCGGTGTGCGGTGTGCCCCACAGTGGACGAGGGCCAGTAGTCGGTGGAGGCGCACCTCGTGCAGGACGATGTAGGTTGTACAACAGAGTTGCACGGGCGCCACGGTGCTATTTGGGGGCTACGCCATCGGCGGGGAGGGGGGGGGGGGGGCGGGTGACGCCTGCTCTCTCGTGCAAGACGGCACGGGCTAGGCGGGCACGGCCGCACGGGGGTGTCGTCATCGGTGCTAGCGTTCAATCGCAAGCCACAGGTCATGATCCCCAGCATGATGTCGTGGACGTCACCGGGCTCGAGTTCCAGGAGCGGATGCACCTACTTGAGCCCTTGAGCACCTTGTCCGTGCCGCCAAGGAGGACTACGAGCACTTCCTCCTCAAGCTCAGGCAGCGCATTCCGTGGAGTCATTGCTGACATGCGGCTCATGCAGTTGACAGGCCATGAGCCCTGACTTATTGACTGGATCATCTCTCTCATCTTATTACGCACATATTATAGCTATCATCAGATCGATCGACTCCGATAGTAAAAAGAGGTTGTTTGGATGAATTCCATAGTATACCACAAAATATTTAGCAAAGTGTGGCATGCCACACATTTTATGGCTAAAAATTTGTTGGCCACAATTGTGGCAAGTTATGGCAAAAAAAAAACGCTCAATGACAAGTGGACCAACTTGCTAAAAAATTGTAGCATAACTCACTTGTGGCATGAACCAAACACAGACCTAATTGGTCAAGCTTCATTGCCACAAGTTTGGCAAAGGTTGGCACTCAACCAAACAGCCCTAAGTTGCAGCATACAAGTCACAAGTTAGAGTCACTACGATATGTATTCTAATTATCGGTCCAAGAGAAACCAATTAATACTCCCTCCGTTCCATTTTAAGTGCAACCATGGTTTTTTCATCCAACTCTAATCGTCCGTCTTATTTGAAAAAAATTGAAAAAAAATTTAAAACATAAGTTATGAGTAAAGTACTATTCATGTTTTATCATCTCATAACAACGAAAATACTAATTATAAAAAAATTTTAAATAAGATGGACGATCAAAGTTGGGCACGGAAACTTATGGTTGCACTTAAAATGGGACGGATGGAGTATCATATAATCACTGTCAGTGCCATGCCATCATCAGCGTCGTTGGTGTTCGAGGCATTCGGCAAGGATGGCGACGACAAGGTTTCCGTGTCCGAGTTGTGCGGCGACATGGCGGCGACGCTCGGTGAGGACATGCCCGAGGAGGAGGAGGCGGCGATCCTCACTACAATCAACACCGACGACAACGGGTTGTTGGACCATGACGAGTTGCTGAGGTTCCCTGATCAGTTGCAGGAGGCGGACGAAAAGAATACATTGTTTCACTGATATAAGGGTCTCACACTCTCACATGGTTTTTTCTATATTTTTTTAGTGTCACGTTATCCAAACCACTCTCAATACTGCCTTGGTGTCTAATGTGACCCGGTTTTATAATACTAGAGCGGTTACGCGCGCTACGCTGCGCGGCTGCTAAGAGATGGGTTTTATCTGGTACGTACTGGTGCAGTATATAGAAAACGTATTTTTGGTAGTGGAGGTATGTCAAGCTGTTATTATGGGCTGATCGTGCAATGCCATAGAGGAGTTATGGCCTTTTCCTTTTATGTTTGACCTTGGGCTTTTAAAGATGTATAGTCCCATAATTAGTGGGCTGGTTTTGGGATTTATGATGCATGGCCTTTTTGAGTTAAGCTCGGTTGTCCCAGGGCAACGTGTCATGGTGGGATTGCATCTGCTTTGCTGAGGCTGGTATATATGTGGTATAACTGGCTGCTTCTTTATGCTGAGTGGTTGCGGCGGCGCTGCTACTGCTTTGTTAGATCTTGTTGCTGTAAGAGGGACTATCCAGTTGGTATGGAGGAACCTGCACAAGGTATGTGTATTAGTGTATTTGTATATGCTCCGATTAATCTTGGGGACCTAGGTATACTCTTATAAATTTGTGGTGCTAGTTTTGTTCGGTCTCTTGCATCTTGTTTGGTCTGAAGGAGCTGTGTATGAGGGGCTTGTTTTTTTAGATGTGTGATTATTTTTCAGTTGACCCGTGTTGATCTGGATCTTTATAGCAGCATATGGTGATTTGGATGATATATATATAAATGGATGATTATAGGAAGTTTTAGGAATAAGGGAAGAAAGGGGATGGTTTTATGATGTCGGTATGGTTAGTGATGTTGTTTTTGTTATGGTTTAACAGAGCAGCGTCGGCTCATGCAGATCAGGTCCAAAACGTTGCTATCTGAGGTTTTGAGAGGCATAGGCGCAAATGAGGCACGATACAGTTGCCGTGCTGTAGCAGATGGCTATGTTGGGTTTGCTGAGGCAACTGTTTATGGTGCAAGAGGAGTTGGAGAGCCTTTTGTTGTTCGTGCACAGGGTATTTCAGCTATAAGACCATGCGATGCGGAAGAAAGCGCTGCACATGCTTTAATTTCTGTTATCAAGAAAGAATGTAGTGTGGAGTTCGATGATACAAACTGGTTTGACATGAATCACTATCATGTTGAGACAGAGCGACTGAAGAGAGCTCTTGGGTGAGCTAGGAAGAAATGCAATACTCTTGCAAAGAAGGCACGGTTGCTGGAAATCGGCTGGGATAGAGCTTTAGATTCATTGGGTTCTGTCAACCAAATATGTGATGACATATGTTCTTCTGTTCTAGGAGGTCCTGATGCTGATGATCTTAGTCATCGTGAGGTTGGAGTATTATACGATGTGCACCGTCTTAGTGAATATGCTGAATCTTTTGTGGACGAAGGGTTGGCTAATCTTACCAGTGTTGCTGCTAGATATATCTAAGCCTAAGGAGACCTGCATGGATTGCTTTTGGGAACTAAGCTGAGCGAAAACAACAGATGTTGTGACTGATATTATGTCTAGTATTTTATCAGTAGGGATCCTGCAGTTGATTGTAATAAGTGTCTGTTATATAGCAGCAGTTGTGTATAGCTGGGTGTGTATGCATGGAACAGCATGTAGGCATGATATATGGTGGTTATGTATTTGTCTATAGTATATAGTCAGACATATGTAATCTGCGATGGAATGGTAGTGTAAGCAGTAAAGCCCTATAATTTCTATGTATGGTGGCTAGCTATGTTTGTCGGTATCTGGAAATTCTTGAATACTATAACAGCGCGATCAATTAATATGTACATGTAAATGGTCTGCTGCTCTCAAATGGCACGGGTGCTTGTTCTGATGAAAAGAATTGCTGAAAAATAGAATAGTGCCTGACCACATGCTTTGGACATAAAAGGGAGAAAAATAGAGTGTGCCTATGGTTTCAGGAATATGCAAGTATGCTTTTCAAGAATAAGCTAATCGATGCATGGATCGTAAGTATTTGGTAACACATGGTTGACTACAGCCGCTGCATATATAAGAAACAGTAGGAAATTGTGTTTTTCCGGCACAAACATAAGAAGACTTTGGGAAACAGTGTGCAGCGAATAGATATAGCACCAATTATAAGAGTATAAGTTCTGGCGATATTTGATTAGAACGTGCATATCGTACAGACACCACATACTATTTATACGAATTCATTTATCGTTCTGCTAGCCACTAGGGCTCGCAAGCCTGTAAGACGTAGAAGTAATGTCATTTGGTCTAATGGCTTGCACAAAAGAACACATCCCCTATTTATATTCCCACTGCAAAATACATTGGGCAAAATATGTGAGCATTAGTCTTGCTTGATCAGGGACAGGAGTATACGCCTTGGCATGCCAGGTGCAAAAGACCGCTTTGGTGGGGTGATATTATATGGAGCCCTCAAGTCCTAAAGGGCAAAATGTAATGTACAGTCAGTTTTTCTATAACAAATGAGCACACAGGTAATATATAGTTGGCTAACAACGTTTACTTACATTTTGGGGGCTGCGGGGGCAGTTTGTCTACGAACAGCGCACGCACAACTGATGCTTTCTGACAATCATGTTCACGAGGAGATGAACTACAGATGCAATTTGTTTGAGCCATGAGAAAACTCAAAGAAAAAAAATAAGGAACGTAAATATGAAACTGTGCATTGTCACTTACCCTTCCTGAGCAAGATCCTCATCAATTACAGAAGATTTATGTTTTTTGTCTGGTTGTGCCATAGCCAGGACCTGATAAAGCATTAGTGGTCAGTTAGGTTTGATAAGGGACAGACATACATATTTGCTCTAAGTACAGAATATAGTGCTAGCCTCTGAAGTAGGCGGTGTTGTCCCATGCTGATCATCACGGCTATCAGTTGTGGCCTATGCATAAGCAATATTAATATAAGAATTTACAATTGTTTATATGCAAGAGAGTACACATTGCTGCAGAATGAAGCTATTAGATTATACCTTTGGATCTGGAAGCACCAGTGGTGTAGAAGGTGTCATAGATTGGAGAGAAGAGCCAATTATCGTGTGCGGTTCAATTGCATCAGCTGGTGATGAGCCATGTTGAGAAGATGCCACAGAAGCATCATGGCTGGGCAGAGTACTTGTGTGGGCTGCATCTAGTGAGGCTAGCATAAGGGAATCCACTTGGTAAGATATCCGATTTCTTTGCAATGAGCCACGTGACACACTAGTTCTAATGACATATTGTTTTCCAAAAACTGCTTTGATTTCTGATGGAACTATATCTCGTGCTCCTTGGACAGATGCAACCAGGTTAAGAAAAGGGATGCCAATCAACTGGTAGCCAATTTCTCCAAAGAAGGTAAACTCAGCTGTTTTGGCGTCATGGTTCGTCTAATGGGTCGACACCTATGATAGCCACTCTGTACCTATTATAGAAGGTAGCAGAAGTAGGTCTTATGTTCTATAGCTCAAATTGTAGCATACTGAATGGTTTATTATGTAAAATAATTGAGAAGAGCTGAACGTGTGTAGGTGGTAAGAGTACCTTGTTTCAATTGCATTAGTGATGCACCTCGAGCATTTATATGTGTTCCCTTCTCTACCTGCTCCTCTCTTACTGGTGTTGCATGCTATGTACCACCAGGCTTCAGCAGGGACTAAATCCTTGATGGCTATCTTGACAATATAGCTGTTGCCCTAGTTCACATGCGAGAAACAGAGGAAGTAAAGGATGGCACTGATAACACATGGATGGAAATTATGCAATGTAATCATTAGATGTGGGGAGGTACACTATATTACCAAGGCTTCGTGGGGATTAAGGTCACAGATATCAAAAACTTTTACATGCACAGCTTCTTTCTGACCAAAGTTCGGCTCTATTGCCCTTACCACCTGTGGGTTACCATGGAGGCTTCAAATATGAAACAGATTAGTGTTTTGGTCTGTAGGCTAGGGAAATATGGTTGATCCATATAACAGATAAACTAAGGAAGATATAAGTTGAACAAAGAAGAAGCATGTTTATGTGAATGGAAAGAGTGCAGAAACAGATACCTGCTTATGAGAGAAATTGTTTCCTAGATTGGTGCATTGGGATACCACCTACAAACAGTGCTACCTTGTAGGGCTAGCTGGTCTGGCAAGCATGAAAGAGTACATTATTTAAGCAAGAACAGGCAAATATGTAAATGGGAGAGGTGATAATAGGGTAAGAATTTATTTCTTACCGTCTCGGAATTTAACAGTTAATCCAACAAACAATATAACAACAGGTCCATGGTCTGGTTGCTGCTGTAAGTTTTCAGCGTGGAACTGTGTAGCATGGGCACCCCACAATGCAACGACAGCAGTTTCGCTGTAGGCACATAGAAGAATGAAGAGGTGGAAAATAATGTGCATGAATTAAGCTAGTATTCACATTTGCAAATAAGAGAGTTGTGAAACAATGTTGATATTATAAACAAAAAAGAAGGATTGTACATGTGTAAAAAGAAACTGACAATGCATGTGCGGACAATTAAGTCATTTTGTATCTAATACAAAAGCAGCTGGAACAATTAGCGGATTAACGCATACATACCTTCCATTGGTTATGTGGACATTAAGCACCGCTTTCATAACACCTCCACAAGAAACAGTTTGCACTGGTCCAATGGCTGTCATTATACCTATAGCATCTACAGGAGTAGTATAAGGGATAAAATTTGCACATGAGTAAGTGAGAGCAGTAAGCAGGGAATGGACAAAGCTAATAAGGAATGAGATAGATTGATCTGGACCAAACAGAGTCACCTGAAAGAATATCTTTCCTGTAAGCACGACCTCTGAGTTCATCAAAAGAAAGAACCTTGTAAGCATGAGATGGGAATGTGGATGGTGCCTCAGTGTCTTCTCTAACGGTTGTGTGGGCAGTGAATTTTGCCATGACCATCCGATCAATAGGCCTGTACTGGGGGCGCGCCTCAGCAACTTCGAAGTACTTGATGTAATACACAGCATCCTCCTTCAGCAAAGGCTTGAATTGAGAAACATGACGTCCTGGGATCTGCGCATCCATCATGTACCCTTGTTGATGTTTGGATGTGTAAGAGACAAATAGCATGGAGGTAAAATAAGGCATGACCATGTGCTTATTGCTATACCTGCTCATCAAGCAGGACTAAATCAAGTCGCAGAATCTTGTCAGGTTCATTTGCTGTAGTGAACTGCGAGAAGCGCGTGACCCGCACTCGGACTTGCCAATGGTGTGATTCCTGTGTCACATTCCTTAGCATAGTGTAATCCATCTGCAACACATAAAGAAGGCATTACATAGGTTAGAGGGAAACTATAATAATAATAATACTTTGCATGATATGAAGATATAAAGTCCTAATTGTTGAAGGAACTGTGGTGCAGGATATATCTTTTTCTTTTTCGAGGTGGGAAATGTTTCCCAACTGACAGTGTTTCAAGCAGGCATGTTTAAAAGCAACTGATTGCATCCAAGAGAAGAATATGCAAAAATAAGAAAGAACAATTAATAAGCAGATATGGAAGACACTGCAACAATCAACTGGTCAAATAGGAAGAACACAAGTATGAACAACAACTCATTGAAGGGTAAAAAGAAAGCAGTAACAAATAGCGAAAACCAAAAATATGGATAGTCATTGTGGATAGAACACTGTATGACCATGAGTTCTTGCTTAAGTTACACAAGCAAACAGTAACACGGAGAAATGGGATCATAGAAGAAACAGGTGAACAAAAGGAGCAAAGTTTCCTAGCCGCAGTCACAGTGACAAACTGACAATAAGATTAATCTATAGCAACGATAATATTTCAGTGTAGACGATGTTCCTGGTAGTGGAACAAGGCTTGCCATCATCATCCTCTATCAACAACTTGAGGCCTTGCTTCGATGTAGCGCGCGAAACAGCGACATATAGCTGACCATGTGTGAAGACAGGGTTTCTGAGGTATACACCAACATTCCCCAAAGTTTGCCCTTGGCATTTGTTTATTGTCATTGCATAACATAGCCTAATTGGGAACTGCCTTCGCTGGAGCGTGAAAGGCCACTTTGGACTGTTCCCACTTAGGACAATCCATGGAATACAGACCAGCTGGCCAATATTTGTGCCAGTCATGATTTTGGACTCGAAAACATAATCACTGAGTCGGATGACCATCAATCTTGTCTCATTGCAAAGGCCGAGTGATTGGTTAATGTTGCGAAGCAGGACTACAGCTGAACCAATTTTGAGGGATATGCGATGTTCCTGGAAATTGTTTATGGATATTGAGTTTAGAAATTCTATGGGGTACAATAGATCAAAATCTACAGGCTTTTCAAGTGTATTTGAAATAGTGTCGCTGCTAAGATAGTCCTTTGCATCCCCAGGCACTTTAGCAAGCATATTATCATTAATCTCATCAACAACTGTATTGACAGGACAGACAATTGCACGCTGAGAAAGGTAAGGAATGCAGTCATAGTTCAATTCAAAATCTGGGTACACAGCATCAATTATAGCTGTAATCTTGTCACCGCAGGGAGTAAGCAGCAACTCCTTAGGTATCTCTATCCATGTCCTCTCAACCTCACCTTGTCTTTTGTTCATGGGAGCACGACCCTCACCAATGTCAAGAACCCATTTAGCAAACTCTGCCAATTCACCCCTGGCTTGCTGCGACAGGGATGGATTATGTAGCCTCATGTTAGTGGTAAGGTGTAAGACTTCAACATGCTTCCATAGTGCAGACCTAACCAGCGAAGCATCTACCACATCAGCTCTTGTACCTTTCTCAATCACCGGTAAGACTTGCCTAAAATCACCACCAAGTAAAATGGGTTTACCTCCAAAAGGCTTATATTCATTAGCTGGTTCATCAGCGGATTGAATATCTCGTAGAGTTCTATCCAATGCCTCAAAGCACAGCTTGTGTGTCATAGGCGCCTCATCCCATATAATCAATGATGCTTTCCTAATAAGATCTCCTAGGATTGTCCCTCTACGAATAGCACACATCGACCGATCATGTATATCTATAGGTATCCGAAACCATGAATGAGCAATCCTTCCACCAGGCATGAGTAGAGCTGCAACCCCAGAAGAGGCAACTGCAAGAACAATTTCACCTCTTGATCTCAGGTTTGCCATAATAGCATTCCACAAGAATGTCTTCCCCGTTCCACCATGTCCAGATATAAAAAAAAATACACTTTTCGTGATGGTCTATCCTGTCAAAAATCTTGTCATATATCATCTTCTGGTCATTGTTCAAGCTGGCATACATGGACAAAGATTCTTGATGGAGGCTATGTTGGTTAAAGCTAAGATCTTCTAAGATAAGCCTGTTTGCTGCACTGGATCCTGAACAATCAACTGGTGTTGGCAAATTGTATGATGAGATTGATAAGCCATTATTTGAGAACATGGCATCCAACTCTTTGAGCAAGGTATCCTGCAACATAACTTCTGGAATAGCTGTGCGCTGTACTCCAAGAGCTTTGGTTAACTTGTAAGCAAAATCATCTACCATGTATCTCCAGTACTTATCAAACAAAACCCTAACATCACCTACATCACAGTGTGCTAGTACAGTCATGAAAAGGTTCCTGAGCTGGTATGAAGTAGCCCAGATAACTGCCTCCTCAAAGAGGTGATCCCATTCAGCGTCATCACCAATGAGACCACGTGCCTGACAGGCTTCACGATAGGTGCCATACAGCACACCTTCATATGTCCTAATATCTTCAAAACTCATACATCCTCGAACTACCATGAGCAACATTCTAAGGTAGAACGGCTCCCAGTACTTGGATGGATGTGCCTTAATCTCCCTATCTTGGTTCCTCTTTTACGCTTTGTCCAAACTTTCTTCTCAGGATCCCAGCTAAACTTGGTAGGAAATTCACAATAGGTGAGATCCCTGGCAAAGATGTGACGTTGGTTGGTAGCAACCATTCAGTAAGCATTGTTCTAGAGGAATCAGGGTCTTCTATGACCTCTTCAAGGTCAGCTCCATCATGGTATGTCACGAACTGCATGCTCGGCAAGTGCACAATGAGGCGTTCAACAGAAGGACTCCTTCCATGGATCTCAAAACCATATAATCTCCAGAATGATTCACAAGTTGATAGGTATCTGGATTTGATGTGTTGCATAACCTCATCTATGCCTCCATTGCTAGCAGTATGAGCCTCTGTCTTTTCTGAAGTCCTGTGGCTGAAAACGAACATAGTCGAATCACTTCCCTTATTTATATACTTAAAAAGGTACTTGATAAGGTATGTTTTATTGCACCATTCCACATTGATATGAGCTTGGAATTTCTTCAGAAGAGCTGGATTATAAGGGACAACCCACCGGTTATCTAGTGAAACACCATTCTTCACCACATAGCAGCCATCATTGCGTCATCGATAAATAGGATATCCATCATCATCTATGGTAGTAACATCACAGAACTGTTTTGGATAGCCCTTTGAACACCGACCATCCTTCATGCAAGGGCTGCTTGGATTGTGCTCACCACATGGGCCATGTATCATGAATTCATCAACAAGACCAACCCACACCTATCAGCTGTTATATCTGGTATCTCAGCACAGATTAGGTTGTCAATGAATGCAGGTGAAGGATCTTCAGATTGAGCTGTGAGCCATGTTAATGTGTGGGAATGCGGCAATCCTCTTTTTTGGAACTCAACAGTGTACACAACTGAAAAGCAAAGCAACAAGAAAAGAACAGATAATGTGTTAGGGGAAGCAATAGATGTGTTAGGAAGGAGATGTACGTAAAGATAGGACAGCTATCATGAATAAGACAAGTAACACACCAGCTTTTATGGGACCGAAGGCTTCTCCATTCTTAATAGATGTGATGTACTCATCTAGCTTCATATGGTAAACACGTGTGACCATATCACTTCTATCACTTGGTTTTTGCCCTGCCTCAAAACGAATAGCTTCAATAATCTCTGGCCATTTAGAATTGCAGGTGAAAGTTGAGAATATTTGAGGAGGACCGTAAGAACGGCAGATTGCCATTGAATCATGGTAGTTTTGAACCATGTATCGCCTTCCTCCTATGAAACTTGATGGCAAAATTACTTGGTGCCAACATCCTTTCCATCACTGTCTCCCCTAGCAACAGCATCAGATATACCTTGATGTGTCTCAGAGCGAAGTTTTTTCTGGTTGAGGGCATGGTATATGAGTCGAGATGTCTCTATACATGAGAAAGCATTCACAGCGAGCTGATCAGAAAGCCTACCACAACAGGTGAATGGATTGGGCTCATCCTTTCGATAGTGGGACTCGTACCGATAAAATTCAAGCATCGATGCTTCGTCGTGACTACCGGGTGGCTGATCATCTACCTCTCTAAGCTTGATACCAGTATGAAAACCCACATCACCATATGGGAATAGAAGCGGGTACTGCAATGACATAAGGGCTGGATGAATAGGTGACAACTGACATAACTCACCTGAATGCTTCTGCACAATGACATCAAACTTTGATACCTCACAAGATGCACTAGGTATAATCAGTGCTGCCAACTCAGAGGTGGTGGGAAGGCTGTAACGGTCACTCTGAGAATGGCCTGACCCAATGAGCTTGATAGCAATCTCAGGAGCACTTGAAGAAAGCAGCTTGTTTCGAGCAAGACGGAACTGCTGCACAAGAGGATTGAACTGATCAAGCATCGAGATAAGCTCTTGCACAATAACAGGATCAGGGACATCCCCAGGATTATCAGTGTGATCAAAAATATTAAGCCTATTCTGGAGCTCATTGGCGGTGTCATATATGTACAGCTGGGCGAATTCCGGACGTTGTCCAGGAGCAGGAACCAGAGAACCAATTCTGTGATGGACAACACCATTGATATGAAAACATAAGGCCCCGGACCAGTGTTTATGCTCCTATCAATGTTAGCCCCAAGCGATGTGAATGCAAATAATGAATTATATTGCCTGATGAGTCGCATGAAAGAGTTGGAATGGGCACCGCCATCAAAACGAATCAAGTCTTGTAAGATAGGAGGAAAAGGCTTGGGTGCGGGTAAGGAGATCTTTCCACCACGACAACACAGATTGTATGCAATCCTCTTGGCTCTGTGCGAGCTCTGGCTAACAACCCTTTCTTGGTACCAAAATAATGCACCACAATGATTGCATTCATAGTCAGGGCCACCATAATAGGAGCGATCTGGGTACGTAGCTATAAGAGCGGAAAGGAAACCTATAAGTAGAGAAGCATGCATATGTTTGTCCAGAAATAGATAGAGAGGCAAAAAAAAGGGACAAAGGCGAAGCAAAGCAAGGTTGGTACTAAGATATTACCTTTAAGAATTTGCATGTGCTCCTTTGGTATGGAATATGTGAATCTCATCGACAGTGAACGCGGCACATGTTCTGTGCAAATAGAAGAAGAACGGAAGAAGAGAAATAGCAAATAAGAAATAAAGGTAAACAAAAGCAAGAAAGAACATCGCCATAAGCGACAAGAAAGGATCATGTACATAAGCAGGTCAAGAACCTTGTCGCAAAATAAGACGCATTTTCCTAGCGGCCTGTCTTTTTTCCCGGTTCACTCGAGCAACACGTGCTGGCACTATTGGGCAAAAATGATCTCCTATGAAAAATTTAAACAGGAAAAACAATCAATCGGAAGAAGGGAAAATGCCTTAGCAAGCTAAGCAACACAACAAATAGTAGTCCAGAGCTAACTGTTGGGTCGAGAAGACTGAATGTGGCCAGCTCCACAACTCCCTGTGGAAGTGATGCGAGGAGATAGAATGAGGGATCGGAGAGAAAACAAAGCTAAGCTAGAAAGAACCAATGAGCAAATAGATGAACTTATCAATATGAACATACATTTTGAGTATATCATATCACAGCAAGTGGACAACTGTACAAAAATATGAGAAAATGGATGTGCAAGGGATAAGAGATGACACTAAACATTGAGACAGCAGCGACTACAGCAAGCGTACATACCTATAGTGCATGATGAACTACCCGTGAGCATTGAGAACCCAGTGGCACCGTGGGATGATGACGGCTCATCTATCAGAAGGCAGAATTGCGAATCAGGAAACAAAAAAACAACAATTATCCTAATGACCTCGCTAACTCTCAGACTATTGAGCGTACATACCTATGGCACATGACACACCACCCGTGAGCTCTAAGTGCTTATTGGCAGCAGATGATATGGAGGACCCATCTATTGGTGAGCAAAAGTGTGAATCAGGGAAAAAAAGGATCGCTAATGGCCTTGCTAACTCCGAGGCTTGCATACGAAACTATAATGATATCACCAAGTACCATGTGGACGCTTCCGCGGGCAGATGCGAACGAATCTGGATGGCTCCATGTCATTTCTATACACCAAGAAACGAAAGGAGCAAAATATAGACACATTCGGAAAAACATATGGATGAATATATAATGGAGAGGGAAAGCATAAAGAACAGAGGCACGAGCTACTATAGAAATATGGAAGAAAGATAGATGCATATAAGCAAGCACTGAATAACTGGACATAATATGACATATCTAACAGCAACAAAGTGGGAAATCATCAAGAGCTGAACCAGGAGCTCTCGGATGCTTAGACTGGAACATACAAATATTTGAAAATGCGTTTACGAAAATGGTAAAACACCAAAGACATAACCACATTGAAAGGCTAACCCAAACATATAACTGTATAAGGTCCAGCAAAGAAAGAAACAGATGGACGCCGAACGAAATCAACTGGCAACAACACAAGCGTTCGAAAAACAACCAAGAATATATATCACAGCGGAACAATGTAAAACAAAGTAATCAGTAATTGAAGGAGGGAAAAAAAGAGGAGCGAATATATATCATAGCGGAACAATGTAAAACAAAGCAATTGGTAACTGAAGGAGGGAAAAAAGAGGAGCACCATATATACGAAATCCACCGAACAGCTATACTGGAGACAAAAGCATCTCGGTTTATACATATCGCAGCATCGCATATGTGAAATGAACTAAACATGTATCCCACATAAGCGATAAAAAAACCAACCTACGAAAGAATATATAACATAGCAGGACAATAGAAAAATGAAATAATGTAAATATATGCCAAAGCACAGCTAATTAGCAATCCAAGGGAAAAAAACAGAGGAGCACCATATATGCGAAATCAAGCAAACAGGTATTCGCTGACATAATCATCTCAGTTTATCCATATACCACAGCTCCACACATATGTAATGAACTCAACAGCTATCCCAGTGATAAAACAATGTGATCTTGTACTAAATACCTTAGCGAGCATTAGCTGACGAAGGCAAAGATGCCCCCCTCCCTCCCCCCAAAAGAAGATGCGATGTGTGGGAGAGACGCCAATTGGAGCCCGCAACCTGGAAGGCAGAGAAAAAAAATACACTGAGCACACGCATGGATGGAACAATGTCGGCATCGCAATGGGGAAATCGACAGCGAGACACGGCAGGAAAGATGAAAAACGAAATAACATAAATATATGCCAAATCGTAGCTAATCAGGAATCCAATGAAAAAAAACAGAGGGGAACCATATATGCGAAATGAAGTGAACAAACATCCAGTGACATAATCATCTCAGTTTACCCATATACCACAGCACCACACGTACGTACTGAACTGAACAGGCATCTCCGTGATAAAACCAGGTGATCTTATACTAAATACCTTAGCGAGAAGTAGCTGAGGGAGGCAAAGATGCCCCCTCCCTCCCCCCAAAGCAAGACGTGATGTGGGAGAGACACCAATCCAAGAGCGCAGCCTGGAAGGCATAAAACAGGGAAAAAACAGTGAGCACAAGTATGGCTGGCACAACATCGGCACTGCAATGGGGAAATCGAGAGCTTGCAATGGGGAAATCGAGAGCGAGCACAGCAGGAACGGTCGGACCACACGAGACGATGCGGTGAGGGAAACCACCGAGCTAGAAATCCCCAAGAACTAAGCGGGAGGAGCAGCAAATAGAACCAGCTCCATATATGGAAGAAAAAAGGGAGTGGAAGAAAGAAGGAGCGATGCAGATTACCTCCCCTGGTCCTCATAGGGCTCTCCGCGTAGTGGAGCAGCAGCCGTAGCCAGCCCCGTCGTCGTCGTACGCCCATGGCAGAGCACTATCGTTGCTCCGTCGCTGATGGTCAGATAGGGGATGGAGAAGGGGCACGCGTCGAGAGGATAGCGGCGACCAACGGATGATCCAGCGCACAGGAAAACCAGGACGGAGCAAGGTCACGGCACCGATGCCGCGATGGGCCTATGAGCACTAAAAGGCTGCCGTGCATTGGGCCAAAAAATCAGCTGGCCCATATGTCACGTCCCAAAACGACTCTAAAATATATCCCTTAAATGATGCCTAGAATAATTAAAATCCGTGTGAAAGCCTCCAACAATTAAAATGTGTAAAGTTAAAAGCCAAATAAGGCTTAGAGGATTTTTGTAAATCTCCTAAAAGCCTAAAATGCGTAAATAAATTTTAGTGGAATTTTCAGAGCACAAATAATAATTATTAAGAAATAAACAAAGTTAAAATGATTTTATAAAAAGAAAAACCCTAAAAGTCCCCCTTCCCTCCCTTGGGCCGGCCCGGCCCATCTCTCCTCCCCCCTTTCTCTCTCTCTCCTCTCCCCGCGGCCCACTCGGCCTCTCCCCGCGCGCGCGCCGCTGACGGGCGGGCCCGCCCGCCACCCTCGCTAACGGGTGGGGCCCACCCGTCATCCCCTTCCTCCCGCCGCTCCCGCCGCCTCCCCCGCGCCCTAGCGCCGCCGCCGCCGTGAATCCCGCCGCCTCCCGCCGTCCCCGCGTGCAATAAAGTGGGGGGAATCACTCCCCGTGATCCCCTCTCCCTTTCCCCCCATTTTTTCCCTCTCTCTCTCTCGCGTTCAAACGGGCGGATTTGCCCCCGCAAATCTCGTCGGCGCCATTGATGGCGGCCGGACCTCCCGCGCCGGTGTCCTTCCCCTCCGGCCGCTCTCTCCCCCTTCCAACCCTATTTAAACCCTCCCCGCGCCTCCCTCGCCCGTTTCCGCCCCTTGCCGCACCGTCTCCCCGCTGGAATCGAGCTCGCGCCGTCGCCCTCTCTCTCCTCCGTCGCCGACGACCTCCGGCCGGCCTTCTCCGCTCGCCGGGACCGTCTCCCGCCCCGGCGTCGCCTCCTCCGGCTTCGCCGCACTGCCGTCGACCCCGTCCACCCCCTCGCCGAGTCCGCCGACCGCCGAACGCCGTCGACCCCATCGACCCGAGCCGCGTCGCCGCCTTCCTCCGCTCCGGTCGCCTTTTTCGTCGTCGCCGTCGACCTAGGGTGAGCCGTGGACCGCCGCCTCTTTTCCTCCTTCCCTTCCCCTCTCTCGGCCGCCGCTCCGCCGTGCCTATGGCCGCCGCCGGCGACCATAGGGACGCGGGCGCCGCCTCCCGCCGGCCGCGCCGAGTGGCCGCCGCGTGGGGCCCGGCCGTCAGCCGCCCGCGCCCTCGAGTGCGGCTGACGCGTGGGGCCCACGGCGCCGGCCGGTGCGAGCCCGGGTGCACCCGGTCCACCGTGGACCGTGAGGCTGCCGCGTGGGCCCCACTCCCGTGGACCCGGTCCGCGCGCCCCCTCCCCTCGGCTGACGCAATAAACCCTTTTTAAATTAAAATTTAAATGAAGAAATTCGCAAATATTCATTTAAAGAGCATATAAACTTCAAATGGCCATAACTTGGCCATTTGAACTCGGAATTGGACCGTTCAAGTCTCTTTTTTTTCCTTAAGAAGTCAAGAACCCATTTTTGTGCTTTGTTCCTACTTGTTATATGGAGTTTATTAGAGTAAAAGCCCTTTTATTTTTCCGTTGGTCATGTAGACGTTGCAGCTTCGGAAGATCCGCTCTTCGTGGAGGTTGAAGCCGACGTTTGGGAAAGTGAGCAAGGCAAATCACATCATCCTTGAACATATTGAATCCCAGTTTATAAAATTATTTTGATTTAAATTATTGCACTATCGCTTTATTTAAATTCTCGCGTTATCACTGTTTTATCTAGCCATGCCTATTTACCTTTGTTATGACCTTATTATTGTTATTGTTATTATTTCCTTGTTCACCCTAGAATAAACAAAACCCCAACTAGTGGACACTCTACTCATGGTACCACTAGTATGATTTTAGGTAGATGCTTCGCTGGTTAATTAGGCAACATTAGGTGGTTTTACAACTCTAGACTTTGGGAATACTCTTATCACCTGGACACTATGGAATGGTTGGATTATTGTGGAATTGGATTCACACCTCCCCCTCTATTCAAAACCCTCAAAATGATTTTAGGCTGGGCTTGGGGTGCATGGTTTTGATAGTAGCACCTCGGCCATATAAGGACCGGTCTTCGGGCCTCTGTTGCAAAGCACTACCGTACTTCCACATGTCTAGTGGGTAAGGCTTAGTTTGTGGCTCAGTCTGGTTATAAACAAAAGTACACGGATGGAGATGGACGAAGTCGGGGGTCGATGGACATCTCTAGGGCAAATGAAGGCTACACGAGCTGCGGCCCGGTAGTCGAGATGTCATGGCACAGGGCCGGTGTCCTGCTGCTAGGGGCTCAGTCCTGCCTACCTATCCCGGGGGTTCCGGCCGTAGGTGGGGTTGGGTCGGTACTCTTGTTTATGGCTAGGATGGGTTGGAAACTATGTCATGTCTTCCGTCCGTATACCATGGTGGTATGTGGCACGTGGTTACACGTGAGGAAGATGTGTCTTGTGGGTAAAGATGTACACCTCTGATCAGAGTATAACCTATTCGAATAGCCGCGCCCTCGGTTATGGGCAAGCCGAGCAATGTACCCAAGTTAGTGTTTTAATTCTTAAAACCTGCCTAACAGCTAAAATGTGGAATGGTTGGCCTGGGTTGGCTTGGGACAAGCTGGGACCCAGGGTCGGGTTGCCAGTTCGGTCTGAATCATCGTAGGCCTTGGGTTAAGGCAGGTTCGTGTGGGTTCACGGCCTTAGTTAATAATATTGTATAGCTCTAGGACCGTGTTTACAAAGTAGCTTTAAGCAACTAAGTGACTTTTAATGCTGTTTACTGCAAACCCTAACCCCCTATATTATGGCTCCCTTGTACTCCCTTGCATTTATTCTGCACTTGTGGGTGTGTCTTGTTGAGTACGGTGGTTGTACTCAGTCTTGCTCAATTTTTCCCAAACCCAGAAGAGGAGCCCCTGGATAATGAAGGCTTTGGTGTCTAGCTCGTGCCTGCCGTCAAGCGCTTGTGGTCGTCGCCCTAGTCTTCCGCTGTTTTTCGTTTGTCTTCTTGTGTGCTGGGTCTTCGTCGCCCATGTAATAAATTAATTAATTACGCTTCCGCTTGTTAAACTCTGAATTGTATCAACTTTTGGTGTACCTTGCCTCCTGGGACAAGGAATAATGCACGCACGTAAGGAACGCCCGTTAGGTTATTTCTGGTCGTGACACCATAGAAGCGCTATCCTGGCTTGGCAGCTGATCAACTGTAACAAAACAACGTGTCATGATTGTATTGGATAACGGCTGGCTCAATCGCCCGGAAGGCAGCTAATCCAGCACCTTTAAGATATTTAATATTAGGGAAGCGTTATATCTGTTTTGTAATTTTGTAATATTAGGGAAGCGTTATATCTAGAATTGCAGTTTAGTGATGATTTTAAAATTCGAGGACAAGAAAAAGGGACGTCAAGTGAACTTTTTTCCTTCTTCATCAAATTTAGGATTCCTACATAGGCCGATTTATTCCTTGAAAACTCAACAATTCACAAGAAGGGCTTTTAGGGCCAAATCACCACATAATTTGCTCGTGGCCCATAAATAAATCTACATCTATATACCTAATTAAAAATATGTAAGGCTTCGAGAAGGATTTTCGTCCGTCCCTCCTCACGTCGGTCAAGGCGACACGACTCCTCCTTCCCTCCCGCGTGCACCTCCCCCTCCCCCTCCCCCACTCCCTCCCTCCTAACGGACTTCATCTCTCCCTCACGATCCTGACAATCCCCCTTTCCCTCACAGCCCCTCTCCTATGTGGCGCCCCTCCTCCCCATCGCCCCTTCCTCCTAGCGCCCATCTTCTTCCCTTTCGTTCCCTCCCTCCTGCGCGTTTAACGAATATGGAACCCCCTCATCCGGGAACGCGTTTTGACACACTCACTCGGCCGGTTCACCACCAGAGCTTGTCGTTACCATTTCTCTCTCTGCCAGGACCACTTGTTGTTGTTTCCGCTATTCTAGTTTTCTTCATTACCAACCGCCACCATTTATGGACGAGTCACGTCGTGGGATACGTCCGGCCACCTTACTCACCACCGTTTGGTTTCCATATGACCGATGCTCATCTTCCCTTCTCTTTTGTTTCTTGTTTCGGCTAGGAAAGGCGATGGAAAATGTTAATCTTTTTTTCCATCTTTCATTCTTATTGCGTATTCAAGGAAGACGGAACCCTCTTGTTAGGGAATACGTTTTGACACACTCATCCAGACATCCAGTCATGTTCACCACCAGAGCTCGCCATTGTCATTTCTCTTTCTATCGTACCACATTGTTGCTAGCCGCATGCATGTTTATTGATTTTCTTCTTAGCCAACCCCCACCATCTATGGACCACTCATATAATATTGAAACCATAGGAATATGAATAAAACATGAAAATTCGAATTTATGTTAATAAAACAGGACCTATTCAGAACTAATAGATCGGATTTTCATCTATATGTTAAAATAAGCTTTTTTAAAAAAAATTCTAGTTAATTTCAGTTGTTTTTCCATTTCCATTTTTAATTTTAGCACTATTTGATCCACTAAAAATTGTTGTAACTTATAATATTGAATTGTTTGTAGCTAAATTAAAAAGTAATTTATTGATATATTTTTTTGATATTAAATTATCGTTCCGGCCAAAGTTATTTGTAGTTTCATGTTGATATTTCTATGATTATATTTTCTTCAGTCCAATTGTGATATATGGTTTAAGATTTTAGTTTAATCATATTTCTTTCATTCCAATTGTGTTATATGGTTTGTAATTTTAGTTATGTCAGTGTTATTTAGAATTCGTTGCAACGCATGAGTATTATGCTAGTTAATTAGTAATGAGTAAATTTCATTAGCGGTACATAAACTTGTCAGGTGGGTGCAATTTAGTGTATAAACTTGTAAATTACTCGTTTTGGTGTATGAACTTGTCTGGTATGTGCAAACTAATACTAAAATGGCACGACAAGACCGATTTTTCTATGATGAACATAATAAATTATATATTAGTAGATGTCGTGCTTATACATAGTAGAAATGTTATATTTATAAACTTAGGTTCCAATTTATCTTTCTTTGTTTCTGTGCCATGCATCATTGCTCGGATGTTTATTTTTTTTATGCAATCATTATACCTTATTATATATTTATCCTTCTTAGACACATGTTTACATAGAGTTTAATCTTGCCGTGCGATTTTGACCTTGTTCACACTCACCAAATAAGTTTGTGTACTAAAACGAGCGTTTTACAAGTTCATGTATTAGATTGCACCCACCTAATAAGTTTGTGTACCGCTGATGTAATTTACTTATTAGTCATTTATAAGAGAGGAATTAACTAATATATTTCCACGTGGGTGATTTGACTATACGGAAGCAAAGGCCAACTAATTAAACATTTTCTTGTATAAGAATGATTTCTCTCGTATTCCAGGAATGCGAATCGGTGAATTTGAAGACTAATAAAGAGAGAAGACGACTTATGCATGGCTTCTAAATTTTGCTAACCGTGACTTTGTGGACTAATAATTTCGTCACATGGTTATTCTTTAAATATATCGTCTCTGTGCCCCAGCTGTTTTACTTTATTTTGTTGGAGTCGATCCGTGGAAATAACTGTGGCTTGAAGTTATAGTAAACCTTTACCCTCGTGCATGGTTCATGATTGAAGTCTCACCGAACGTTTTGTCACAACGTTATAGAAATCGACCCCAGAACGGCTCAGCAGGAAAGAGGCACGTCCAAATGCGCACGACCGAGACAGAAACACCATAGTTCTGCCACCGAACCCAAACAGTGCGTCTGTGCGTGCAGCGACACCAGTGTTGCCACCGTATGCGGAATCGCAGTTACCTGTACCGTGGAAATCCCTTCGTGTAGCCTGGCATAGGTACGTAATTCCAGTACTAGGCTCCCATCGGTTGCCCATTTGGCCTAAAATGGCTTATTTGGCTTATTAGAAATTTCAAATTAATTTATAAGTAAAACTTTTATAGATTTGTTCGTAGCGACTTAAAAGCCAATATTAACAAAAAAAATACGTTAAAAGCATTTTAAAATCAACTTCAAAATCAAGTTCAAAAATTTAAATTTTGGCTTATTTTTTGCTTGTCTAGGCCAAACGATGGGGCTACTAGTGTTTCCGGCCCGATCTGCTCTGACTTTCTGGAGCGAGCCATCGTGCTTGTGATCACGTCGTCTCCGGCGAGTCACCTCACTCGTGGTTAGTACTGCCACTATCTGAGGTAACCACCAGCACAGTACATCCACTGATCGAGAGAACGGAAAGGGCCTATTCATTCATCCCCAGCGGTCGGCGCCGCGGAAGTCCGTGCCAAATTCTCCCCCACGCTGATCGAGATCTGAACGGTGGTGACGACTCACGCCTCGTCAGTCGTCAGTGCCCGCCTCGGCGCCTCGGCTGCCCGCAGTTTCGGCGCGTGCGTACGCCGGCGCAGACGCCAGATGCAATTCACCTCTCCGGGTCCGGGCGGCAACGCAGCGTGCGCGGGCGTGACGAGCCCGAGGGGGGGCGGCGGCGGCCGATCTCGTCTCGGCATGGTGCCACGGCGCCACGCACCCTCGTCTTTCCGCATAGCTTTTCTCCAGGTTCACCTCCCCTTGCTGCCCCCACCAACGTGGCCACGCCAGCGCCCAACCACCGCCCCCGCCCGCCCGCCCCGTTCGGCCGCCTGCCCCCACGGCCCCACCCACGCAAGCGCCCCTTCCACGCGTCACGCCGTGCGGCGACCGACCACCCTCCCACTGATTGCGACCGCCCCCTCACCACGTGTCCCTCCCACGTCGTCCCCACGCCCGCCCTCACACACCCCGCGCCACTGTAGACACTGTCGTGTGGAGCCCATTGGCTCTGTCCCCACCGGTCAGTGAGGGGTTGGTGGACGACTATCCAGTCGTGACTCGTAAGGGCCCAGGGTAAATAGGTAGGCCTGATATTTGTGGGTCGCCCATGAGAGAGACCCCATGTGGGGTGGGCCCCACCAGGCATCAATAAATAACCTGTCTGAAGGCGGGCTGGCGCCACGTGTTGGCAGCACGGGGTTAGGCGATAACACCGGCGTCGTGATCGCCGTTAACATCAACCGCCTGGTGGACCCTACCGCGGGTGGGCCCCGGCGCACGGATACCTTCCACGTGTTGCGGGCCGGGCCGGGGCGTGGCCACGCGTCGAGATCAGGTGGAGATGGACGGCTCAGATTCCCCGGAACGGGAGCACGTCACAACAACTGGACCTGTCGGGCGCTGCCCGTGACGGCGACGGGCACCTGCCCTCCTTCCCCTCCTCCTCCTCTCCTCCCCCCTACCTTCTCTTCTACTCCCCCCACCACCCCCGCCTTCGTGCTTGCGTGTCGTCGCCTCACCTCGCGCCTCCGCTACTACTGCTTGTCTGCTGCTGCAGCTGCTGTTATTACCATACCGCGGGAGAAGGGGGGCCGAACCCGAAGGCGTGCGAGAGGGAGGTGAGGTGAGGTGGAGCCGTGGAGGCGCTTGTTTCGCGTGCGAGACGGTGCTTCGTTTCGCCTCACGTTTTCCGAGGGCTACGGCGACTTGGTGGGAGCGCGGAGAAAATCTAGCGAGCCGTCGGAGTTGGGTGGCGCGCGGCCGGCTGTGCTTCTGAAGGAGGAGTAATTGGAGTAGTTGCTTGCCATGGCCGAGATCTGCTGCGAGGAGGCCATGTCGCCGCCGGCCACTGCCACGGCTGCTGTCGCGGCAGCGGTCTCCGCCTCGGCCGCCGCAGCCGTCTCCTCGGCGATAGACAGGCGGCGCCGCAGGATGGAGATGAGGCGCATCCGCATCGCAAGTGATCTCGAGCTGCAGGCCGGAGAGGATGGGCGCCCTGGAAAGCGGCAGAGGCTGGCGCGCACGGCGTCTGGCGCCCCGCGTCCTGACGAGGATTCGGCGTCTGAGCGGCCGAGTTGTGGCCGTACGGAGGAGTTCCCGAGGTATGGGGTCACCGCTGTGTGCGGCCGCCGTCGCGAGATGGAAGACGCCGTGTCCATCAGACCGGACTTCTTGCCGGCATCCGGCAAGTTCCATTTTTACGGCGTCTTCGACGGCCATGGCTGCTCCCATGTAAGTGTTTGCTGATGTCTAAATGTGCGAACCGGATAGTGATCTGTGCACATGTAATTCAGCGTGCTAATTCGAGTTCTATGAATATTAGGTTGCGACGACGTGCCAGGACAGGATGCACGAGATTGTCGCCGAGGAGCACAACAAGGGGGCCTCCGGCGAAGTGGCGCCTTGGAGGGATGTGATGGAGAAGAGCTTCGCGCGGATGGATGGGGAGGTCGGTAACCGGGCGTCCACCCGCAGCGACGACGAGCCCGCCTGCCCGTGCGAGCAGCAGACGCCTTCGCGTCGCGACCACGCGGGTTCCACCGCCGTCGTCGCCGTCGTTAGCCCAACACAGGTCGTCGTCGCCAACGCCGGCGACTCCCGCGCCGTCATCTCCCGTGCCGGCGTCCCCGTCGCACTATCCGTTGACCACAAAGTACGTATATGCTCGCATCACAGGGCCGGCTGAGCCTTTCCCGTCCATCTGCAAAAAATCGTTAGTTTCTTGTCCATGAGCGTGTGCCTGACATGGTTGCTACTTGCTACCTCGGAACGGTTCAGCCCGATCGGCCCGACGAGCTGGAACGAATCGAGGCGGCGGGCGGCCGCGTCATTTACTGGGACGGCGCCCGGGTGCTCGGCGTCCTCGCCATGTCTCGAGCCATCGGTGAGCTGATCTAGTTTTACCTTCTTCTCTCGTCGTCTCAAGAATTTTGATTTGGCACCCGGATCCGAAACTCACCTGCGTATGGGCGCGCAGGGGATGGGTACCTTAAGCCGTACGTGACGTCGGAGCCGGAGGTGACCGTGACGGAGCGCACCGACGACGATGAGTGCCTGATCCTGGCCAGCGACGGGCTATGGGACGTCGTGACCAACGAGATGGCGTGTGAGGTCGTGAGGGCGTGCTTCCACAACAACGGTCCGCCGGCACCGGCCGCGCGGCCGAGCGGCGTGCCCTCCTCGGCCGAGGCGGCGGAAACCGAGAACGGAGGAGCCGCATCGGTGAAGGGGATAAGCAAGGCGGAGTCCTCCGACAAGGCGTGCTCCGACGCGGCCATGCTGCTGACGAAGTTGGCGCTGGCGCGGCGGAGCGCGGACAATGTCAGCGTCGTCGTCGTAGATCTCCGCCGGGGATTGTGATTCTTGGCGCAATATTCTATGCTCCATGATTGCTTTCTTTCTTCTTCTTTTTTTTATTCTAAGTTAATTTTTCCCTTCAAATTTCTTCCTTATTTCTCTGTTTAGTTTTAGTTTTACTACTAGCTCCTACCAAGATAAATGAATATAATAGCCTTTTTTTTCGCACAAACACGAACCAGACAGATATAACAGGAGAGTGATCGTAGGCGTAAGATTTCGGAATCAAGAATCAATGCGCACATCTTTAATCCTGCCGTAGTTAATCGTTATTCGATCCTAATGTCTCTGCAAGTCTGCATCCATATGGGTAAAATTGGATCCATGGGATGCTAGGTTCCGTTGACACTACCAAAATTAGAGCATCTTCATGAAGGAAGCATGAAAAAGCTCACCACTCGTGTGAGTGCTAGCAACACGTCCATCGTGCATCCTAGAAAAGGAGAAAAAGGAGAGGAAAAAAATAGGGAAACCCAAAAAAAAAAACGTCCCATCGTGTGAGGCTATTTCGGTGGCCATCCTAGGATGAGGACAGACAGCAGAGCATAGAAATTGATGCTGATCCATGCGTGGGGGCCGCCCCCATGGTGGTGAGCTGAACTCGGACGAGATTCTCCTGCTCCACCGCTTTCTGTGTGGAAATGTATGGTGTTTCTTGTGATAAAGTTTTGAGCCCCAATGATGCGACCCACGAGCAAATAGCTGGGGTCCGCGTGTCCAGCCTCGTCCCCCTTTTCCCTTTCTCCCCGTCCTCGATGCCCCTTTGCGTTGGCGACGGAGCACCGAGCCACCGAGAGGCGGGAGAGCACTCCCTTCGCCGCGAGTTAGGCGCCGCAACATTATTGGGGGCTGCACGCTCTCGACGCACCCCGGGGCGTTTCCGCAACAGAACATGACACGACGCGACCGGGAGCAAAAGGGAACCAGCTGTCGCGATACAGCAGGTGGGAGGAGTAGCGACCACCAAATTTTAAGGCAGCGTCGTGGTGGTGACTCCGTGCTGACTCGACCGTGCGTGCCGAATCGTTCGACTGGATTCCCGGCCAACCCCTCCTAAAAATAGGCGTCGGGGGGCAACGTGGCGCAACGCGCGCCGAGAGGTGGGGTGTGTGTCACTCACGCCGCGCGCTGGGGACGACGGGACGATGAGGCGTGTGCGTGTTTCCCCCGATGTGCCCGGCACGACACCTCGCCCCGCGTAGAGTTGACACACGGGAGGGCGCGTCGCCGTCGCGGATCCAGCAAAGGAAGATATGGCGCGATCCATCGGCGGCAAGGGCGGGGGAGGCAACAGACGAAAGGCGTGCCGCGATCGCGATGGGACGCCATGCGTTTTTTTGTGCGATGGGAGATGAGGACGACGGGACAGGTTACGGAGCACGGGAGCAGCGGCGAATCGTGATCCGGCTGCAATCCAACGTCGGTGGCATACTGACATCAGAGGAAGGGCGGGGAAGCAACGGCCAGTCCAGCTCCAGGGCTCCAATCGTGCATGATCTGATTGACGATAGGCGTATCCGCATAGGATGCTTGCTGTTTCTGTGTTCTGCCGACTGACGTCGCATGCGTGAAATAGCCAAACAGGGAACTATACTTGCAACAGAAAGAGAGGTGCATGTAGCTGCGCCACATCTACCTATTTGGAACTCATCCCTTATTACTACTCACTACTACAAAATCTATTTTTCATGGCATCACTTTATTTTTTTTTCTTTGGCGGTTATACGCAGAAACCGCCAGAAAAAAATTAGGGGGGGGGGCTATGGGCCACCAGCGAAAATGAATCTTCGCTAGCAGCTCACTTAGATAACCACCAGCAATTTTCGCCAGCGGGTGCTTAGGAGCACCATCTGAGAAAATAAATTCGAGATATAAATCCTATCCACCTCTCTCCGCGCTTTCGTGGCCTCTCCCACCCAACCCAACTTTCTCCGCCTCTCTCCCACCTTTCTCGATACCTCTGGCCTCCCCCCTCTCTCTCCACCTTTCTCGATCTTCCTCCAGCCTCCCTCCTCTCTCCACCGCCGTCGGCTGCCGTCGCTTTCACCGCCGCCGCATCCGTCCTGGGGAAGGCGAGAGCGAGGAGGACGAATCCGCTGCCTCTCGTGGCCTCTCCACCCAACCCAACTTTCTCCGCTCTCTTCCACCTTTCTCGATACCTCCGGCATCCCTCCTCTCTCCGCCTCCGGGCCTCCCTCCTCTCTGCACCGCCGTCGGCTGCCGTCACTTCCACCGCCGCCGGTTGCCTTCACTTCCATCGTCGCCACGGCATCCATCCTCGGGAACGCGAGGGCGAGGAGGAGGGATCCGCCGCGGCCTGGCTGTGGGGAGCGTGCATCCGCCGCCGTCAGGCCGCGGGGAGGATGGATCCGCTGCCGCCAGCACGCGGGGAGCACAGAGCTGTCGGCGGTAGCTGCGGGGCCTCGTCGTGTCGCGGATCTCATCGTCACGGTCGCCGCCATCGGGCCGTGGGGAGCGCGGTTCCGCCGCCTCCGGCCGTGGGGCCTCGTTGTCGGTTGCGTCGCAGATCTCGTCGTCATGACCGTCGCCGCCGGGCGCGGGGAGCGCGGAGCTGACACTGCTGGGCCGCGGGTAGGGATGGCAATCGGGCACGACGGGCACAGGTAGTGCCTACCCATACCCGTGCCCATGAGATTATTTGTGCCCGTGGGTATACCCATTACTACATGACGGGTAAGGATGGTTGCCCATGCCCATTGCCCACGGGCGCCTTGTGCCCGCGGGTGTGTGCCCGTTTACCCGCTACAACAAAAGCAGTGGAACAAAAAGTCTACAAGCTTCTAAGTTCGAATCGAACTTTAAACATCAAATATTCTTCGCCTTGGTGTGGTGTCTCTCCTCTGGCGGCGATAGAGTAAGGGGAAGAGAAATAATAAGGGAAATAAAAGGGAAACCGTAGAAAACAAAGAACGTGGCTAATGTATTCTAGTGGACTTTGCTCCTCGCCTACATGTAAGTTAGACTTTGCGGGTAAATGGGCAAAGTGGGCATGGGTAGTGATTACCCATACCCATACCCATTTACCCATCGGGCATAGCTTTTGACCCAATAAGATACCCATGGGTATAAAATGGAGAACAAACCCAACCCTAATAGAGTTTTTACCCACGGATAAACGGGCAAACGGGCACAATTGCCATCCCTAGCCGCGGGCGGTGGTGCTCGGCCGGTGATCGTTCGACGACGGCGACAACAAGCGGTAGCGGCTTAAAGTTTCTTTGGATTTGTGCAACGATCCGATCCGGTTAATGTGTTTGGAGATGGGAATGGAAATTGGTGTGATTCTGAATGAAAATTTTTTTACCGTAAATTATTGATGCAAATTGCTGTGGATTTGTGGATCGAGGAGTGGATTTGGGAATAATTTGAACTGGTGTTGACGAAGGTGGACAGAGCGATGTTGCTCCGTCATTTTTTTTAGCCTTGGACAGTATTAACACTGGCGGCTGGTATAGTGTACCGCCTATGAAAAATGGATCGTGTGGTATTCAAGTTTCGCAGGCGGTTAGCTTACGAAAACCGTCAGAGAAAATGGATCTACGCTGGCGGTCAGCTACCGCCGGCAAAAATACTGTATTACCATTGGCCTTTAGTCACTGGCGGTGCTGTCAGCCACCAGCAAAATTTCATTTTGGCAAAAAAATAATGATTTTTCTAGCCGTGACTGTATTTAATTTGTTCCAAAATGGTACGGCGGTGATTCCAAATTTATGATGTGTTTAGTTCACGCTAAAATTGAAAGTTTGATTGAAATTGGAACGATGTGACGGAAAAGTTGGAAGTTTATGTGTGTAGAAAAGTTTTGATTTGATGAAAAAGTTAAAAGTTTAAAGAAAAAGTTGGGAACTAAACCAGGCCTTATAGTCTATAGCTATATTTTGAGATGGGTAGCTACGTTAATAGCTTGTCAACAATATATGTTAGTGTAGAATGTCAGTTAGCACTTGGAAGATTTGTTTATAATCTTCCCAGTTTAACACTATCAATCTTCCGCGCACAGTTGTTGTGATGATGGTCGAAACAAGTCGGTCGAACAAACGCATTCCACGTATGATGTAATATAGTAACTGTGCTATAAAATACAGTCTTTTATTCTCTCTGGAGAAGGTAGCATAAAATTAAGTTTTTCTGGAGGGTAACATAAATTCCAGTTGTTTGTGGCGCTCGCTAGTCGCTATCACAGAAATAGGCAATGGCTCGTCGAGTCGTTTTCCGTCTTCCATCCTGTCTTGTCCTAGAAAGGCCTTCAGTCCTTCACCCTTCAAGCCCTGCTTTTGTTTCCACCAAAGTCTCTAACTGGGCCTTCACCAAATACTTTCGCGAACATTGTACTACGATGGGGCTATTTTTCTGGGTCCACCAAAGAGGAAAATCTATTGTGTGGCCTGCGCACTACAAAAAGGGCTTGGGACACCCATGATCTGACTGGGCCGGGAGATCTGCCTTGGATCTGACTGTTTGAGAGTCTCTTCTTTCTTTCGCTAAAAAAAGGTCTCACCTTTCTTAGTCTCCCCTGCAAGAGATGTCATGACCAATATGCAATGAACATACTCGAGAGTAACGCATAGTCTAATATGATTGCAATCAACGATGCACTGTATTATTAGAGCAAGTTTTATGGAGGGGTGCTTGCTAGCCTTTAGTTTTGTTCACATCATCAACTAATTAATTAAGCGATAGTATATAAAATAGATTACCTCTAATACACTAGCTCCAGTATAATATAATTTTTTATTTGCATCCAATTTACACTGGTCTCTCGAGTCTCAATTTTCTCCCTTAGAGTTTGTTAAGAGGTTACCTTTTGTATGAGGAGTGGCCTTTTCTCTTTTTTCTTTGTCCTCTCCTTCAATTCACCTCATAATTTAGTCTTAGTATATGGCATCATGGGATCTGGCTTAGGTGTCCTTAATACTTAGGTGGTGTTTAGTCCCTCCCACCCAAACACCACCTTACTCTTATACTGGCATAATGCTCGCCAGGTTCTGAATGTGGTCTCCAATAGATATCTTTTATAATAAAGTAGAATAACACCAAAGTTGAATGTACCTTTTTTGGAGCGTGTATGTGATAAGCATATGCTTTTGTATTGTGTTTCTCAAATAATAAAATAAAATAAAGCAGAGTGACGTACATTAGATTGGTAAAACCAAACAAACAAGTCTAACGCGATCGCAATTGGTTTCGTTTGCTCATGTCAATCTATGGGTTTATGATTACGGGCATGTTTAGACTATTGCCAAAACAACTTTTTCATAATTTAGCATACCCAAATTTTTTATAAGAGACAACATCGCCATGTTTTGATAGGGTAAAGTTAATTTGGATATGTTTAGTTTGGTGCCCCCATATAGGATACCAAATGTTGGCAATATTCAAAGGATACCGGATTTTGGTATGTTACTATGGTATTGCCAAATTCCTGTAGTCATTGCTATTTGCTAATGTTTCTTAACAAACCGACCTATGTTTTGTATTCCACTTTAAAAAAAATAGCATGGTTTAAATTGTTAGAATCAATCCGAATAGGTCTTATGTCCACTTCACGAAATTCCTGCTGCTCGGGCGACTGGCCGGGGCCGGGGGGAGGGGAGAGAGAGAGAATTGGGCGCTCTCCATGTGCTACCCCTGGGGCCCCATCATGTGCCCCTGTTACCTGCCACGTGTCTCCACCGCATACTCCATTGCAAAAAATCACCCACATATTTTGGAAACCCTCTATTAAGAGAATTCGTTTTATTTTTTTCCACAAAAAATGTTTCACCTAGTATACTCACGATGTTTCACTATGTATAGATCTAATGTTGCAGTGAATTGAAACATTCTTTTGCAACAAATTATCCACATATTATAGAAACCCTCTATTAAGGGAATTCGTTTCATTTTTTGTTCCACAAAAAATGTTTTACTTAGTGTACTTATAATGTTTCACTATGTATGGATCAAATGTTGCAGTGAACTGAAACATTATTTCGCTATTTGCTGAAACATTGTTTTTTATATAAGGTGAAACAACACCCGATTTAAACGATTGAAACATTTTCGATCTACTTAGTGAAACAATTCCAAAATACTTGGTGGAACATCGTGCAACATTTAAAAATAATTCAATAATAAGCTAAAAAAGTTTCGCCGGAATATATCTATGTGTGATCTTGTTTTAAAGATTTAATTATAACGAATTTAATGGTGCAATCGGATTATGATTTGGACAAATAATTTAAGAGAAAAAAATAGTTTAAAGTGGTTTTGCACGTATGCGTCATGCTGACGTCAACGTCCGATTTCCCCCCTCCCTGTCGGGAGCCCGACGCGGAGTCGTCTTCTCCACTTCATTTATCAAATGGAGCTGATTTTGGATAGGCATGGGATATGCCGGTCCAAATTTTAGGTGTTAGGGTGTGCTTTTAGAGCAATTTTAATAATAATATTGCCAATCACTAGTTTTAAAAATTGAAACATTATTTATAACCAATCTAATAGCTCATTTATATAATAGTTAATTATAGATATATACTGCATCATTAATACCTAATATATTAATGATTAATACTGTGTGTAACAAGAACTCTCTTCCTTTTAATATATTGACGTACAATCTTTTTACGTGCCTTTTATCTCTCCCTTCACATAAGCACAAATATAATGTGGTACTTCCTCCGTTCCACAGTATAAAACCTTCTAACATTATCCAAATTCATATAAATGTTAATGAATCTAGACACATATATAAAATATATATATTGATCAATGGATGAATCTAGATAAGTCCAAAAAGTCTTACGATATAAAATGGAGGGAGTGACTTGGACAATCTGTTTACGTCATCTTATTATACTCACTCTTATATGGATAAGTATATAAATGTGTATATGCGTAAATATGTTTATTGTGTTTCTAATAAAATTACTACCACATTGTTTCGATTTTGAAGGGGTGGGTAGGAGAGAGGGGAAAAAGTTTCCTCCTAAAAAAACTAGAAAGAGGAGGTTGAGTCGAGGGACCGATCGAATATGTTTAGTTCCACGCTACAATTAAAAGTTTGACTAAAATTGAAAATTTGAAGAAAAAAATTATAAGTTTATGTGTGTAGAAAATTTTGATGTGATAAAAAAGTTAGAAGTTTGAAAAAAAAGTTAAAAAGGGTACCGCATAGTGCCAGATAGTACAGTAGCCACCAAAAAGCCCACATATCCGACTAGGAGTACGTTTTTACTTGCTTCCCCCATCGGTCTCCCTCTGGCGCGCCGCTTTGGCTTTTCCGAAAGGAAGCCAGTCATCCATCTCCCCCGATTTAACCCGACGCCGTGCCGCTAGTCTGATCCGCCACCGCCACGGTCTCCTCCTCGCCCCCGTGCCTCCGCCTCCTCCTCCTCCCGTCCAGCCCGTATCGACGAGACCAGCAAGGCGCCGCCGCGCGCGGAGCTCTCGACGCCCGCCGACGACCCGCCCGCCGTCAGATCCGCCTGCTGCATGCTTCCTCCAGGTTTAGATCGTTTCCAAAAATCCTCTGCTTCTCTTCAGTAATTCCACCCGCGTACGGGGTTTCTCGATCAGAGCGGGGGTTCCGTTTATGATCGGGTCAGGGTTTACCTATTCCTTGTGATTTGGGCGGCATGCGATTTTTGGATTATAGGTGACGTTTGGAGGATATGTAATATTATGGGTTTTCAGGAAATCGTTTGGATGCTGTAGTTACCAACCACCGCAGCATGCCTAGCAATTTGTGCAATTACTCGTTACTCTTAACAGCACTCACGCTGTCACGCGCGGTGTGGCACACTGTCAAAATTTGAGATACGTTGACACTTCATCATTGGTGGAATCTCGTGAAGGAATTATTTCAGCGGATGTGCATATGCTATAGTATGAGAACATCTATGGTATTATGTAGATACAACAATCACTAACCAGTCACGAGAAGAAGGTTTTTAGTTGTGATTCTATAATATATTTGAGAATCAAAACTAACTTTACAAGCTTATGTGGGTTTGACCCTTCAAAATTTCTTGGAGTTTTTTATAGTTCAACAAGCGTCAATGATTGCGATTCATATATATACATTGTTTACTAGTAATGGTTTGTGTGAGTTCTTGAGACAAAAATATGTGGTTGACCACGCACCAAATGCATTGTTCCACCACTGCTTTTGGTTGTGATCATTTTCGCATAGATAGCGTCATGTCATGCTGCATTTTGATGGTGATGTTGTGATTCGTGAATGCAAGCAAAATAAACGCAATGGAAACATTTTTTTTGCAAGTCATATTTTTTGTTTGTTTCTAGTTCTCATCGTTATCTTCTTTTAATAAATGTGTCCCTTTGTTCTCTTAGAGCATTTTCCCCTCTCAGAAAATTGGAAACATTTAATAAGCATCAGAGTGATCAATCTTAGTGAATACTTAATAGAGAACATAATTCCATCAATGTTCTGTTCAGAGCAAATTTGTAGAAAAGAAAACCAGGCAAGCATTGACCTTCTGACTTGTGGTTAGAAAAATTATCTGGTTGAATCTCCATTCTCTTTGTTTTTAACAGTATTTTTATTTGTACCCATGTAACATCTTGTTTTTCCTTTTTGGTCCATTATATTTCGTTGTTGAACTGCAGGATTTCAGTATGACTGAACATATAAATTATGATGTGGTGGAGCAGTGTGTTAAAAACATCCTCTCTCTAATCAAACCAGTGGAGGATGACAGACGCAAACGACTATCTGCAATTCAGGAGTTATCAAATTCCATTCCTAAAGTTGCAGCCTTAAGAGGTGAGTTATCTCATATTTGATAATTTTTAAGTTTGTAACAATGTAATTTTTGATAAGCTAAATATGAAATGCAATGGCCACTGTGGACAGTTATGGTCAGTTATCCTTTTGGCACCTACAGCTGAGGCCCTTGGTCACTTCTCTTGTGATTTGTTGCTAGAATGGTGGGAACGGGCAACAAGTAGAATATCTAAGAAACAATGTCTTCCAGTGATAGCAGATAGGCCTGCAGGCTGCAGAAGGTGGTCACAAGTTGTCGGCGAATACAGATCTAGGCGACTTAAGTTTAGTCTCACGCATTGCATTCTTTTCAGTAGCTGTCAGTTTCGTATTAGGGAGAATCCTCCAGTTGTTTGTTGCCTTTTTTTTCCTTTTTGCTTCTAATTATCTGCATCATTTGATCTCTCAAGCCTTTTTGCATGCTGCTAAAAAGAAAATAAAGGCAATGGTGACCAGTGTTCAGTTTATTTTTTCACTACAGTCCTAATGCTGCATAATGTGGAACTATTAGGTGTTTGTTTTGCTATAATGGGGTCATGATCTCTTCAAATGGTATAGATTGTTCAATAACTTATTTTCCTTCATATACTTGCTTAGTCAATGCACAGGTTCTCTAATAAGTTTCCATGATGGCAAAATGAAATGTCAAAGGATTTAATGATGATATGATGGTGGTGATTTAGTGTTGCCTTATCTGAACTTTTAAATTTCTTTAACAGGTGCTGTTTTCAAACCTTTTGGATCCTTTGTATCAAATCTTTACTCAAATTCAGGTGATTTGGATATATCGGTTCACCTCCCTAATAACTCAATCATAAGCAAGAAGAAAAAGCAATATGTCTTGAGGGAATTAATGAGAGTGCTACAAAATAGAGGTAAACCTTTTTTACCATATTACATAATAAAGGAGCATGCAGACTTCTTCTCATTGCATGATCATTGTACCCATGAAATAATAACCATGGCTTTTGCGGTAAAACCATAAAAGGATTCCATATTATGCAACCACACATTTACGCACATAGGATAGCAAAATCATGTAGGAGTACTAAATATGATGAACCGTGTATCTTTATTTCAAAGGAGAATTGGACTTGAAATTCACAACCTTGTGCTACTATATTGGGCAATTCTTTTTAGTCATACAGGTAGCTCTTATTTATATTATGATTTCGTTGGTTGAATTGTGTCAGGTGTTGCCGGATATGTGCAATTTGTTCCTTTTGCAAGAGTTCCAGTTCTTCAGTATGTGAGCAACACCTTCGGAATTTCCTGCGATATATCTGTGAACAACTACCCTGGTCGAATTAAATCCAAAATCTTCTGCTGGATCAGTTCTTTAGATGTGCGTTTTGGTGATATGGTTTTACTGGTAAGACTAGGTAACTAGTAGAGAGTTTCTTGCTGCCCCATCATTTTGTTGGAAAGCCCAAGGTTCAAACTATGTTTTCTTGCAGATCAAAGAATGGGCGAAAGCTCAAAACATTAATGATCCCAAAACTGGGACCTTAAACTCCTATTCACTTTGCCTACTAGTCCTCTTCCATTTTCAGGTAATATTCATCTGTGGTATTTCAAGTTATACTGATACATGATTTTAGGAATATCCTTGTTACTGTCTTTACCTTATTCCAGACATGTGAGCCTGCAATCCTTCCACCTCTTAAGGAGATTTATGAAGGGAACATTGAAGAAGGTATTGCTGGTAAAATGAACTAATATTTTCTTTGATGATGATTGTCTAGCATATCTGTATCTGAATTCATTGCATTTACATACAGAAATGACGGTGTATGATGAGGAACATCTTGATGAGGTTTGCTCTGAAAATTTAGCAAAATTTCAAAGCAAGAACAAGGAACGAAGGAATGAAAGCTCTCTTTGCCATCTGCTTGCAACCTTTTTCCACAAAGTAATTAAACAGTATGCTCCGTTTCATTGGTAAAGTTAGTATGCTTCTTGTAAGGACATATTTGCTGTTCATGTCTTGGCGAAGCATGTCTTCATGTTTCTAGGAATATTTCCTATGCCATATTTTAGTAAGTTATATCGAGGTTGCTGGTGCTCATGTAGTTTAATAAGTTGAGTTATTTCAAAAGTCTTTGGCCCTTGCTTTTGTTCAGCATCGTGGCATCTTGTTAAACTCAAACATACCTTTTCTCTTTGTGTTTTGTATTTTTTAAACTAATTAACACTTGACAGACTCTTCCTTTTAGAGAAGTAAGACGATTTTTGTTATAACTCAACTCATCTTCCATGCTAGCCTTTGTTTTGCTCATTTTGTTATAAGTCCAATAAGATGATTTGTGTTCAAATCTAAGCTAAGTGAAATAGCTACTTATCTTCCTTTCATTAAACATAATTAAACAAATGAGCTAATCCCTCCTTTTTGTGGGGCTACTTAATTACTTTGCTCCATTAAACTATATTTTATCCCCATTAAAATAATGCTACTGTCACTGAAAGCATATTTAAGATTTAGATGCCATGCACATTTTTCATTCGTTACTTTTTGTAACTCATGAGATACGAGCTTTACCAGTAATCTTACATTGATTGCAGTTTTCCTCTATCGGCACCCTTTCGGGTGATGTGATATCCACTTACACGGGCCAGTTCAAACGAATAGAGGAGAACCCAAGTTGGATGGCCAGATCATACAGCTTATTTGTAAGGATTTCCTTTTATGGTTGCATTCAGCAGTCTTATTGAAATTTGGACTATTTACTAACACAATCTCGTTCGTTCATTATCTCCTTTTCAGGTCAAAGATCCAATTGAGAGACCTGATAATGCCGCTAGAGCGGTTGATTTGAAAGGCCTTGAGCGGATTGCTGGGGCCTTCACCGCTGCTAATCGTAAGTTTGCATCTCTCCAACACGCCAAACGAAATGACTTACTGGAGATGCTGTGTACGCCTGCTGTTGGCTCAAAGCTTGGCATAAGAGTTAGCCAAGAAGTTATGGCTAACTCTTGCACAAATACTCCACGGAGGAACCGTCATCATGGTAGACCAACGGAACAAGTCTCAGCGAGGCCATCTGATAATCAAAATCACCGCGGGGCCAGAGAATTTACAGTTGGGAGACAAGTTCATAATCCCCCACGGGCGCGCCAATCAACTGGAGCGTACCATGCTCTTAACAGTCAGCATGTAATTCCTGCATTGAGCCAACCAGCAGGAATTTATCAAACAGTTGGCCCATACCAGAGTAATGGTCATCCACAGGTGTATACTAGAGATGTCCAAACAGTAGGGCACCAAAATTATAGGCATCCAATGGGACACAACACACAGCTCCAAACAGTGGAACCATATCAGAGTAATAATAGTCAACCACAGGTTCATGCTACCAGCATCCAAGCACCAAGACAATACCAGAATTATACTCGATAACGCCCGGCCAGAAACTACAATCACCAAGTGTTACATGCTACAGCGACCGAGACAACGGCCAGAAACTACAATCACCAATTGTTACATGCTGCAGCAACCGAGACAACGGCCAGAAACTATAATCACCAATCGTTACATGCTACAGCAACCGAGACAGAAGGATCATACCGGAATCAGCAGCAGAGACAACACACATCTGGCCGTCAAACAAATAGGAACGCTGTGAACACAAGGTACGTGCCTGTTGTTGGAAGGCCACAAAATGTAGCATGTGAATCACGAGCTCAAGACTCCTCAGGCAGGGGAACATGGCAACAAAGGGAGCCGCGAGCAGGATCAACCTACCAAAATAGATAGCAACGGATTATCTTCAGCTTTTGCATCGCAGTGTGTATGAGTTTTTGGTAGTTTGTGATAGCTTTCGTCAGCCAGCAGTTTGATCTCAGTGCCGCTGCAATGCAGCGAACTGTATTGGGTAAAATGCAGTTACAAGATTTTCTTTTGTGCAGATGTTGTCATGTTGCTACACGCGTGGCTACGATTGATTGCGCTGTAGCTGAGAACTGTTTAAAAAAATGAAGAAAAAACAGTTTATTTTTATATGTATGATAAACTAATAAACGAGGTAATCTGCAGTATCAGCCGTTTAAAAGATTAAGGCTTTTGTAGTAGTTGGGAACTCATCCTTATTTACGAAAAAGAAGCAACAAATTAATATATAATTAATTAAGTATTAGCTATTTTTTTAAAAAAAGTTAATATGATTTTTAAAGTAACTTTCCTATATTTTTTTTTCAAAAAATGTACTGTAGCGTGCGAACCCAGCCTAAGGCCGAGAAAAGAAACCAAAAACTTACATTTAAAGTAACTTTTAATACTTACGTTTTGGTTGTGGCTGATAACCCAACAAGCAGACAATTTTACTGAATATTTTTGCATCTGGCTATTTTAATTGTCTAGTTGTGAAGGAATAGGTAAATATAGGGTAGAAACTAAGTCAAAACTCATGTCACCCAATCCCCCGAAAAAAAACATAAAATCATATATAAGTTCCATATAAATTCATATAAAAAATCTCACGCGTAGATGATATGATGGTGGGCAACGTTTAGGTTCGACTTTCTTTGTGAGATGTGATTTTTCATAACTTATAAACAAAGTTCAATTTGGACAATATATCTCGGTGTCCACCATCATCTCATATATGGCCTTGTTTGGCATAGGTTTGGATCCAAGATTTTATGAAATTGGGTATCCCTAGCTTCACAAATTTATAGAATTGGATCTAAGATTTTATGAAATTGGGTATCCTAGCTGCATCAAACACTCTCATCTATGTTGGGGTTTTCACGTATATAGGAGAGGCTTGGATGCCAAATAGAGTGCATATCAGTTCTTGCTACCATACCCTCTTTTTTTTTTCTCACAAAATCTATATGTTGCATTTGGAACACTGCCGTTTCAAAAAAAAAAATCAAAACTCATAAGGGAAAAAAAAACCACGTTTCAAACGGCTTCCTCTGTGGTTTCCCCAGAAACTGGATAAGCGTTCCCCTCGGGCCGGCTCCGACGTGCTACGGACTGGGCCTTCGCGCGCCGTCCCGTCCCCGCTCCCGAAGCGAAACCAACGCAACGCACGACTCCCTCCCACTCTACCCTCGTCTCGTGCGCGTGGACGACTCCCTTTGCCTAGCTTGACTCGTGCGCCGCCTACTTTCGCCAATCGCCATGGTGCAAGCCGCCTCAACCTCCTCGCGCTTTCTCCGCACAACCCGTCTCCACGGCTCCTCCACCTCCACCACGCCAGCGGAGCCCGCAGCCTCCGCGTAGCCGGCGGCGGCTCCTCCTCCTCTCATCGCGCTATCTCTCTCTCTCGGTAAACCCCTGGCCTCGGTTAGTATCTGAAGTGGATTTCTCGCTTGGTCTACTGGCGGGGTTCGCTCGATACTCCTCCTCGAGTTAGGGTTTGGCGAATACGACCAACCCCGCGGATCGCGGTTGGATGGCGACTAGAGCGGCCGCGCTGCTCTGAGAATGCAATGTACCTTTCAAGGGTTCGGTATTTTAGTTCCTTGCTTGATAATTGCTACTACTGCGACAATCTCGCGGTTCGTTTGCGAAGAAATATAAAGAGGGTGCCTTGCTGTGGCTGTGCACTTCTCTCTCCTTCTTTGTTTTCACCCGAAAGTTGTGATTTTGGTGTGGGGTTTTGATGTAGAGAAATTGATGAGTACCACGGGTATTGCCAGCCAAATATTAATTGCGGAATGTGGGGAATGGGGAAAGGGTGTTGCCTTCGACGTGGATTCGCCTGCTGCGACACATAAGCATGCATATATTCGTAGAGTGGAGCGGAATTCTGCTAGCATTCTGTAGTTACCCAGTTACGTTAACTACTGTAGTGCTAATGTTAGAGTTAAATGATTTATATGATGAAGTGATGAAGTATACTTTTGGCCTGCCGACTTCGTCTGGGGTTTAATTTACACAAAACTTCAATACCTTGTAAACTACACACCCAAATATCATGCATGCAAATCACATCCTAGGGGTGGTATTGCGGGTGTTTTGGTTGATGTGGCATGCAGGTGAACGTGGGGGCATGATGATTTAGGGAAAGAAAATTATGTGGGCCTTTTTCTCTTTCCTAGATGGGGTGTGGTATGGGTGGGAGTACTGCCATGTGTTAAAGAAATTGATGATGTGGTAGCCACATGACCCAATGGCCAACACCTCTAGTAACCTCTTTGGGTGTATTCTGCGCTGGAAACTGGTGGAGGGATGAAAATATATTAAATTGCAGGGTGTACATTAAACTAGAGCAAAGTTAAGAAACAATTGTAGGGTGTACGTAGGTCGTTGCACTGTTGGTTTGGACTTATGGAGCAAATATTTTACAATTTACATTAGAAAACCAGGACAACCATTATTCTTGTAACTGTAATGGGTTTGAATGCGGTTATATCTGGTTATGGTGCTTAGCGACGCCACTGTGTACCCATATAATCTCTTTTGATCATACGTCTATATCATTTGTTGCCCAGGATTTCAGGATGTCGATTTGGCGTGTCCCTAATTATGATGTGTTGGAGAAGTGTACAGAAGATATCCTCTCTCTAATCAAACCAGTGGAGGGTGACCGAAACAAACGAATATATGCAATTCAGGAGCTGGCAGATACAATCTATTCAGCTGGGGCCTTGAGAGGTAACTCACACCTAAAGTTACCACATAACCCCTGTATTATTTGAAAATCTTCCGTTGGGTTCCTTGTATTTATTGACGGTATGGTGTTGTGATGTTTCTACATCAAGCTTGGTTAGACTTATCTATGATCTTGAAGAGAAAATGTGTTTTCCACTTTATTGCTGTGAATGCTAGCTTGGGCATGGATTTCTGATAGATCTCTGAAAGAAAAGACCCAGTCTTATAGGTGTAAGGTGCCTCTGCGGTGCCTATCGTATTTCTTGTTATATTCATAAGGAACCTTAAGTTTTAAAGTTATCATCACACTTTGTCTGGGCAATAGTTTGAAAATACAATGAGTGACATATTTATGCAATCCATAGTACTTAAAAGTGATGTGTTTGTTTTGTGATCGATGCTAGAAAATGGTCTTCATGCTGCGATTGCTGTATGGCAATGGGAACTCTACGGCAGACCCATGAGGTTGCTAGCAGGCAACTGTTGACCTATGACAGTTCACAGTACACAGTAACCGTTAACCAACAATTTGTCATATCATGCCTGACAAATGACAATCACGATAAGCTTGTGTTGCTAGAATTAAGGGTGGGCATAATTACCTGAAACCAAAGAACCAATCCAAACTAACTGAGACCAAATACTTATGTCAGAGTTTCTAACTAACCGAATTTAATTTGGTTATAGGCCTTGGTTAACCGAATTGACCGAAATATAGTTAATAAGCGCAAAATCAACCTGTTAAGCCTATTAAGTATCATGTTTGAACAGTTGAATTTTGATGTTAAGTTGCAAGTGCTATCTTTGTGTTCTATATCATTTGTTGTTTATTTTGTGACTTTTTACTGTCAAACATGTCCTGAAACTGGGGAATTGCTGCCAAATTTTTTACTACCGAAACATGTCCTGAAATTGATCAATCAGTTCGGTCATGACCTAGGACCGAACCAAAATGACCAAAACCAAATAGCTTGGCCTTTATGATTTTGCATTGAATTTCGGTCTTGATTTTCGGATGGCCAAAATTCGAGAAAACCAAAGAATCAATCCGAATTAATTGTTCAAACCGAATGGTTACCCATAGCCAGAATGGAGCTGCTCAAATGTCACATAATGTTTTTACTGGATTTTTTTTTTGGTTACATTCTCTTGTTATACAATGGATAGTGTCTTCCTCAATGCATATATTATTTATGAAGTTTGCATGTTGGAAAAGGGTAACTGTTAGAGAAGTCAGCAGTGCAATTATTTTAGTGTTTCTTTTTCTGAGTTCTTAACTTTCCTTTATAGGTGCTTCTGTAAAACCTTTTGGATCCTTCGTATCACAACTTTATGCAAAATCAGGTGATTTGGATGTGTCAGTTGAGCTGTTCAATGCCTTGAATCTCCCTATAAGTAAGAGAAAGAAGCAAGATACCCTGAGAGAAGTAAGGAGAGCTTTGCAAAAGCGAGGTAAACTTTCTTTTCGATTAATGAAAACAGCTTTAACCGAAATGATAGAAGTTTTGGTTGTGTGTTCTTTGTGATCAAACAAATAGTCACTATATGCATATACATGCACCAAGGAAAGCAATAAGTGGGCTTTGCGCGTCTTTGATGCAGCGGCCAGGTTATCCATTATCTAAAAAAAAAAAGGAAAGCAATATATCTTGTGAGAGGTGAAGTCACTGTAATGAATAAGTTTTGATCAAGCTATTCACGATCTTCTTTTTGTTCCGTACTTCATTCAATGCAACCCTTTTTGTTGAATTTACAGGATATTCTTATCTGTTTTCATTCCTTATTTAGGTATTGCTAGACATATGGAGTTCATTCCTAATGCAAGAGTTCCAGTCCTTCAGTATGTGAGCAACCAATATGGTATTTCCTGTGATATATCCATTAGCAATTACCCTGGTCGAATTAAATCGAAAATCTTCTACTGGATCAATACTTTGGATGATCGCTTTGGTGATATGGTTTTATTGGTAAGCTCTGTGTAACCAAGAGAATTCTCTTTTTGCTACAATCTTCCTTTTTGTTAAGCCATGTTTTTTGGCAGGTCAAGGAATGGGCCAAAGCTCAAAACATTAATGATCCAAAAAATGGAACCCTGAATTCCTATTCACTTTGTCTACTTGTTCTCTTTCATTTTCAGGTGTTATTTCTTACTTTACAAGTTACCTCTATTTCTTATTTATTGTTCCATTAAAGTTATCTATATGCGTTCTTTATTCTGAGCCTTCCAGACATGTGAACCTGCAATATTACCACCGCTGAAGGAGATTTATGAAGGGAACATCATGGAGGACATTTCAGATAAGATTTCATTATGGGAATATGGCTTACCTGTGATGGATAGTGACTATCTATTTGTCAGTGCCTTGCTGTTTAACTGCTGCATTCACATACAGGGAGGGCGTACTATAATGAGAAACATCTTGATGAGGTTTGCTCCATAAATATAGAAAGATTCCGGCGCCAAAATATGGGGCAAAGAAATCAGAGCTCTCTTTCTCATCTACTTGCATCATTCTTTCACAAGGTAATTGAACTTATGGCCACTATATTGGCTAGTCAACCTTGTCTAAGAGAGTATGACTTCCTTCTAAGTACTGTAGTTCTGTTGTTCAAATACAGGTGTATGTTTTATTCTTGTCTTTAGGCATGTATCTCCACATTTTGTTCTTAACTATGTTAATGAATCAACACTGGCATTTTTAGGCCATATATGGTCTCTCTTGAGCTTGTTCAAACATATTTGGTCTGCTTAATCTAACTCACTGGGGGTGTAAATCCAATGACGACGACTCATATGTAACCTTTTTAGTAACTAGTAGCTATCAAATTGTCAGTACATGAGCTAATCTCATCAGTGATTTCATGTTGCTTAACTCAAGATAGTCAGTAAAATACATTTAAAAGTTATCTGCAATTCAGCATTTGTAGTATGTCTACGCAATGAAATTTGGCCTGAAACTTCCCCAATACCAAGGTTCAAGGGCTAGTGTCAAAATTGTAGCCTTTAGTTTTCTTGCTTTGTATCTGGGATTATTGCATCTTTCTTTAGTTTTTTAACCTGAAGAGCTAGATGGGCTTAACCAGCAATTTATATTGCCTGCAGTTTTTCCGCATCGATGCCCTTTCGGATAAGGTTATATCGACTTACACTGGTCGGTTGGAGAGAATCCAGGACAATCCAAGATGGATGGACAAGTCATACAGCTTGTTTGTAAGGCTTTCCTTTTTGATGCTTTTGGTGGTTATGATGATTGATGTTGCTAAAAGTTTTAGCCCAAGTGCTGATATTCTATCTACTTGCTATTTATTATGTAGGTTGAAGATCCATTTGAGAAACCTGATAATGCTGCTAGAGCAGTCGGTTCCTTTGAGTTCCAAGATATTGTCAATGCCTTCAGCAACGCGAGCAATAAGTTTGTTTCTGATGCGCATGCGCTTACTGACCGAAATGGATTATTGTCACTGCTTTGCACACCTGATGTTGGATCAAAACTTGGTGGAAGAGCCAGTGCCAGCCGTTATACAAATACCTTAGTGAGTCCTCATGACAGATTTTTATGATATCTTGACTATGTGGCACCTAACCCATACGATGATCATCATCACCAGCCAGCCAGAGGAGGAAGCAGGTCAGGTCAGAGTCCACATGGGTATACTACCAACCGGCAAACTGCAGTGCATTACCAGAACAATAATCATCCACAGGCATATAACACGCAGCGGCAAACAACAGTTCATCACCAGAACCAGAACAATCAACAGGTGTATGCTGCAGGGAGGCAAACAGGAGGTCAGTACCAGAATACCCAGCGTAGCAAGGAGAACACATCATATCGTCATTCAAATTGGCGAGCAGCAACTACATGGCACGAGCCAGTTTGTGGATGATTCTACAATGGAGAATGGCAGTAACGCTCTCAGACCGGCCTCACCATCAGCATCAGTTGATCATAACTGATGGTCCTAGGATAGCAACAGATTATCTTTAGCTCTTGCCTGACAATATGTCAATATGCATCACATTTCGATTCCCTTAGGTCTCGACAAACAATATGTATGAGCTCATGAAATTTAGCGCAAGTTATTGCCAGCCAGCTCGTATGGTTGAGCGAGCCTGGGGCTTATGTGCATTTTGAGATCTAGAAGATGTATTGCTGAACATGCAGCTCTATCACTTCTGATGTTCAATATATAACTTTAGGCCATCTTCCTTCTCCATCTATCTCCCATGAGAAAGATTGCAATGGAATGTGTATTTCTGGAGCTCTCTTGATAGAATGCATGGTCATGTATGTACCAGTTGTGCTTCGCGTCTATGCATGCATGCCTCCATGGCCGCAGACGGAAACAAGAAATTGAATCAAGCAGGAACATCAACAATGCGCTCAACTTTAGCTGCAAATTTGACCATCACAGAACATCGGAACATGCATGTAACACGTCGACGAAACCGTGCGCTCTGAATGTTGAGCACAAACAGATCAGATAGAAACCGGAACTATATGACTTGCAACTTATATATGACTTATATGACTTGCAACTTACAAACCGTTCTTTCTCATTGCACTGAATTATATGACTTGCAACTTACGGAACTTGCATTTTCCACTTTCCAAATTTGCAATAGAGCTGTGCCAAATGTTCGCAGTGATCAGAGAAAACATTAGAGACACAACAACGCTGATCATGGACGATTGATCTATCTCATTACACACCTGCTCTGCAAGGTATGCCCACACGAGTACAGAACATAAGAGCAGATGTTGGGCATTGCATGCCGTGCCGAACTGCCGATGCAAGGTGACATGCTATGTACTCGTCGCCCAGTCGCCCCCACGCATATCGATCAATCTATCATGCAACGCATGTGTAAAACTTGTAAAACTTTTTTTAGAAATTTCACTATAATTAGTGCAAACCCGAGTTGAAACTTGTAAAACTTGTTAGAAATTAGAAGGGGCCGCGCGAACGCATACCACCCTACTCTCTCACTTGTGGGGAGATGGTAGGTTAACACTCCCTCCCATGTGTAATGGAGGCCGTTAAACTAGGCCATGAGCTTTCTTGATCGCTCATCGACCTCGTCCAGGTAAGAATTTCTCAACGTTGTACCCAGCCTTTGTTTTATACCTTCTCTCTGGCCCCTTCAACTCAAAAGGAGTGATGTGGTACTAAACTGAATCGTTAGGATTCAGTTCGGTTCACCTGTTGGGCTCTCAGGGGGCCGTTCCGTGTAAATTCAACCCAAATAAGTAGCTGGCTCCTATCATAGACAAGTACAAAATGATCTTACCCATCTGGCATACTGAATTATAATGTTTACAAGCTCATCGTATTCGTTCCTTTTACTACAAGGACGTTTGAGTCTTTGAGGTCTACAATTTGACGTGGATGGTACATGATAGCTGAACATAAAAGAAACGATGCACATACTAGTACAAGTCAAATAGAATTGAATTTAGTAAAGCCCTTTGGTTAAAAAAAACTGAAATTAGTGTATCAATAAAATCATAAGTATTTCTTTGAGTATGGGGATTGTCTATCTATTTGTCGGGTGATTTCTAAAAAAAAATCACCCAGATTTGTTCTACCCTTAAATTTACATCCAACGGACTACAAAAGAAAATAAAAATGCATATTTAGTTACACAATACTTTTATCAAAATTACAATGCACTTACATGCCATATCAACTGAATTTACAAATGTAATTTTAGTTATATAGGATTGTAATTTTATATATTAAAAAAATAACAAATAAATATTTACTTACACAACATTGTTATCAAAATTACAGTGCACTTACATGTCATATCAACTGAATTTACAAATGTAATTTTAGTTATATAGGACTGTAATTTTGTATTTTATTTTTATTTTAGTTTCAATTGAGAGAGAACGAGAGAGAACAGCGTGCATATCAATTTTTTAGGGGTGTAGCTATATTTATGGCGCCATATTTTTCATCAAAAAGTAGTTGGCATGTATTTACATTGTAAGTCCCTAAATTACATATGTAATTTTAGTGTATTTACAATGTAAGTCTCAAAATTACATATGTAAGTACTAAAATTACATATGTAAATTCGAAAATTACATACTAATTATATATGTAAGTGGGGTGTAAATGAAGTGTAACTACTGTGCAAGTGGCTAAAAAAAATCAACTGTAGCATATGGCGCCATATTTCTAGCAACTCCATTTTTTAGAGCACAAAAAAAGAAATTAGCGCCTCTAACCGTCCGACTAAATCCTATGCGGATTCCCAGCGCTATATGTGCACGAATCTTGGTACTTATCGAACTGCCTAAAAAACGACAAATCCGAGAGAAAAAATCACACGACAAATCTATAGCAAAATTGTTGCTTTAAGTAATCTAGTTTTCCTCCTATTGTACCAAGTTCGTTCATCCTATACATTTCTACAATCAAACAGGGGTTATCAGTTGGACAATACAAGCGACATAATTCAGAATACAAAATCAATTTTTCTATCAAAGTTTAAAAAACGTTTTAAAATTTTAAATATTGGTAGGGGCCGCGCGAACGCGTACCCCCTCTGCCACAAATTATGACGTCCACTCCCACTTGGGGAGATGGTAGACGAGCGTTCCTCCTAAGTGCAATGGAGGCCACTAATCTAGGCCATGAGCCTTCTTGATCGCCCATTAACCCCGTCCAGGTAAGTATGTTCAAACGTAGCACCCAACCTTCGTTTTATACCCTTCTCCCAGGTACCTCCAACCCAAAAGAAGCGATGTGGTACTAATAAAACGTACTTCTATTAGTTCTCCTGTTTAGCCCACGAAAGGGGGCCAGACACCACCCTAACCACTCGACCACAGCGTCTACGATTCGGTTCAGTTCTCCTGTTGGGTTTTCTGAGAACCCATTGCCTCTCGAGTCCGTATATTTGGCCCATACAAGTAACAGCTTTCGCTTCAGCAGAAGCTCCGATCTGCAAGATGGAAGAAAGAAAGAGACAGTTGCCCGCTTTCATCAGACTATAGATGTCACTCAAAAACCTTCCTAACTCCTATTCATAATTACTGTTGTGTGGATGATACAACAAAAACAAGCCAATCGTTAGGGGCTACATCAGTCGTTGTACAAACGAATGACGAATCAAATTGATTAGTTACAACTTTGGCATTCACCTATCCCTATGTATTGAAACAGATGTCAATCTCCAGTCCGTAGTAGCTGTGGTAGTCAGTTCAAAAGGCTCCGGAAAACAAAACCAGGGCTCGCATCATTGCTCTGGACCAGCCTGATCGGCTAACGCACCATCGGCTTGTCGCACATCAAAACCTTCCTGCTAGCATACGGGCCTTCTGCGGTGTCACGCATGATGGATCGCCATCCCATGGCGGTTGTTATCTCTTTGACATCCTGTACAACTTGTTTTAGGTCACGAATGTAAGCCCTACCGCCTGGTCTGAGTATTCGATCCATCTCCAGCAAGATACTTGAGATGTTACATCTGGTAACAACAGAGATACTACAGTTAGACGCACTGTTTATCCAGAACTCAGTGGTATCTTTAGCAGCATAGTCAAGAACGTAGAAAGGAATGAGCATGAATACTATTTTTGTATCTTGCAATGTATCGATAAAGCATGAGATCACCTGTTCAGCTATTTTTATAGTCACATTGTTGGGGCACATAAGTGTGGATATTTCTTTAGGCACACAGGTGTTTGGGAGAAAAATAAACAGGAACATAACTCGAATTTAATTATCAAAAGAACTGCTACCTTTTCTGTTCCTTCGAGAATAGGCTAAACGCATGGAGCAGATCATATGTCCTTGGATATGTATCAAATGGTTCACACCTGTCGATAAGGAAGGCACAAAAATGGCAGCATGAGCAATATTTAAAGGTAAAATTTTGTAGATTTAGTTTAATAACACCAAATATCTAATCACCACTGCTTAGAAACAAACATTGATATCTAAATAAACAAGAAACACGTCAATGAGAAGCATTATAATCAAACTGTTGACCACTGGAGTTCAAGTTCGACAAGAACACGGGGCAAGGAGAAAGAAGATGCAAGTGACCACTATTCACTAGTATGCTCTATTAAGAACATTACGGGTTGCAGTACAATATAATTCAGGAGGAACATTTATAAATTATAAATAGAACAAAAACCCTAATAAGAGAGCCACAGAATATAAAAATGCATACCAGTCATGAGCCACTCCAAGAAGTCCCCGGTCATAGATTACAGGCAGTGTGTTTGGCTCACTAACAGGAACAACATTCATCACCCAGCAATCAAGTTTACGATTAATCAATGCAGCTGCAAACCTGCATAAAAAATTAGCAAGCAAAATGAGATATTGCGCAAAACAGAATATATCACGCACCAAACAGAAAATAAGTCCAATTTATTTTGTCTTTGTGAGAACCTCTGTAACCTAGTATAGTAGTGTCAGAGCAGAAGGTTACTACGGTTGAAATAACTAAGTGGCATAGAATCTATGTACAATAAGTGTCCAAAGAAAACAGATGACATATTACTAATATCAACTTATCAACGACATAAGCAGATTTGTGATCCACTAGACCTCCAAGTCATTGTATATATTTTATCAACATCTGTACTTAAAGGCATGGAAATCGGATACTAATCAATGTCTGAGGTAATTTGAAATGGAAAGAGAATGGACAGAGTGAAGAAAAGGCCTTAAAGAAAGATAAAATACCCTCCAAATCCAGCCCTCATGTCCAATACATTCCGGAGTTTGAACTTTCTCCACTTAAAAACACGAATATAACCTTCAACAATGTCATCCCAAAATTTGGTTTCTGCTTTGAAAAGCTCCTTCTTTGATGAGTGTGCATCCATTTCAACACCTTCAAGCCTTTTTGGTGGCTCCATTAAACGTGCAGGCCATGGAAAGGGAGTCAGCCCATCACCGTTTTCAGGAAGCCGGCTGATACATGCTTTCAGATTGACATACCTGAAAGAGAAATAGAACATAAAGAATAGCACAAAAAAGATTCATGCCAAATAAAACATAACAGCAGTACAACAGTCCAATCAAACAGTAGCTAAGGCCTCTGAATGATGTAGTATAATCTACATAACCAGAAAAATGAATAGCCATTATCACAGATTTTGTTGATAATATGCTTTGCATTTATGAGGTTTTAATGGTGAATGGTTTAACAGATCTAACCAATGATGATGCAAAAAGAAAACATTATTGCCATCTAGCCCATCATAAATCAATGATATTAAAATATTATATAGACAAACTGTAGTGAATGGTGATGTATTTTTATGGTCCAATAGCACATGTGACTGTTAAAATTTTATCCAATACGATTGCAGCCAGAAAGACATAGATTTAGAATGGTACATTGAGGTTTCATCAATAAAAACAGGACAAAATGAGGTCGAAACATACCAGACATCATCTGGATTATCATCAGGATCACAAAGTGCAGGTTTGACCCCAGGGTCACGGTTCATGTAGCATGAGTTATTTAATGGTTTCCTCCACATAGCAATATATCCCTCTTTCTTCACAAGCTCCCAACAGAGTCTTGCAGTGAAGTCTTCCATCTCTACACATAATTTTGTTCACAAGCAATTCTTTCAAAACAAACCAAAAAAAGCACTTCATTCAAAGTAAGCCTGTCAAACCAATATATTATGTAATCCTGATAAAAACCATGCAATACATTCATATTTCTAGACATGATACATCATAACAAAAATCTGCAGCTTTAGTTGGTTTCTAGAAATGAAAAGAATTTGTAGTTTAGCTTTGCATTTACTTTACTTCACGTGGAAGAATGCCTCAGGCTTGCCATGGATTTAATCTGGAGATCCATGCATATTAAACATTTTGCATTAATTTTTTTCTTCAAATTACTGTGTATACATAACCATATGAATCACTCCAGATATCGTAAAATTTGACATATGTCATTCCAGACCATAATAGGAGGTTGATTCAAACTTCAAAGCATATGAAACATAATGCTGATACACAACACAATAAACAAGGAAAGAACGGCAATGCATGAATGAGGAATAAAAGAGCAGCTGTCATAAATCTAAAAATGCAAACGACAAGAACAAATATGAATTCGTCATGTGGGAAAATACCAACAGAATAAATGAAAGACTAGTGTGTTTCCCCCACAATGGAACAAAAATTACTAGGGGTACATAGGAAATAATGCATACCTTTCCATGCTTCTTGCTGAGCCTCTTCATGCTTATAAACAGGCTGTGCTGCCCAAGCAAAATAACCGCCGGCTCTGAGCATTCTATTAACCTCCAGAAGCAGGATTCCATCTTTAAAGTGGCAAATCATGGCAACAAAAGTTAAGCAAATTGGAAGTCAGGGTGCTACAAAAAACAGTTATCTTTGTGTTGATATTTTGTTGAAAACAATCATTGGATGAAAAAGCGTCTTCACGTGCTAAAAATAACACACTATCTTTGCAATGTTTGAGTGCCTTGAGCATGTCTATTTTTCTAATAAAGGAACTTCCAGTCATTATTTGAATAAAATATTTTTCTTATGCCGTAGGAATGAATTCAGACTAGCTCCTTAAATACTCCTTAAATATGTTGCCTTTGCTCAAACGCATAACTAAGAAAAAAAAAGGTAGAACTTTACATCAAAGTGAGTGCTCACCATCGTGGGTCCAATTTATTCGGCAGCGTGAACAATGGATTAAGTCAAATGCTTGACTGGGATATAGTAATCGGTGTGTCGCAAATGCTGCTGCCATTGCAGGCACACCACGCTCAAGAGCAAACTGTATCTGATTCTCATGAACGTCTTTGGGAGCTATGGATAATGTCAACACATCACGTGAAAGTAAGTATGCACCAAAACTTGCTACTCCACAGCCAACATCCAGGGCAACTCTAGTGTGAGAGCCAAATGCAATATCTGGTACCATCTGGATGAACAGAGAGACAGGTGGTGCTACTGAGAGTCAGCAACATGATAAAATTTTCATCAGATAAAAGTACAATCAGCATACTTGAGAAATCTGATCCAGGTATTGATTTGCTCCATGGATAAATTGAGTTCCTCCTCCAGGAAATCTAAATTTATCCTTAGCTTTACTAATCCAATTCTGCCCTCCTTTGTCATCAACCAACCGCGTGTGAGGTACATTGCTAAACCATACCTGCAATTCATCAAAGTGTGTTATAGAAACTCCTTTACCTGAACCCAGAGGTCTTTGAAAAATTAAACCAAATCAGTTGGTTATACTCCCTCCATTTCATAATATAAGGCACAACTACTTTTTTCAGATATTTCATAATATGAGGTGTGCATGCATGCATGCAATTAAATAGCACCTCCTCTCTATTCAATTATTATATTTAAATCCTCCACACTCAAGATCTCTAATTCTATTGGGTGCATGCATTGCATTTGTTACGGTGATCCAAACTAGGAGGTGATCGTAATTGTTTCTTGGTCTTTGGGTTAAGGGTGGTTATGCCTTATATTTTGGAATTTTGGAATGGAGGGAGTATTTAATTTTGCATTAAATAAAATGCTGTACTTCAAATGCTGCTTCATCATGCTCTAGTTAATTTGAATTCATACTTCATACTGATGGCAGAATCAGAAGACATCTCCTCTACTTAGCAAACAGAAAACCCAGTATGAGCTTGCTACAATGCTAGTAATAACCCACAAAATCAAACACTACCCCATGTTCCACGTTCGGAAAATCCAAAGGCAATCCATCAATTTTTGAATACCTTGCATGTTATACTCGATGCCTAGTACTATAGGGCATAGAGTTATACACTGAAGAATTGTATGCATCACACTATCAAAACTTTTGTTTACAGCACACTGTCAAAATGTGAAAGAGAGAACACCAATGCGCACCTCATCTCTGCTCCGAGGCCAAGGAATGGGTGCCTTATACCCCTTGGGTGCCGGCACGAGGCAGCTCAGACCCTTGTCCTTGGCAGGGCAGTGCCGCTCGAACCGCTCGCCACGCTCCGTCGAGGGCAGCCTCCTGATCTCTTCCTCGTTGTCGAGGCAGGGTATGTACTCCCTCATGCTCTCAGGACAAACCGGGAACCTCCCAATCCGAACCCTGCTCCCGACGGCGGGGCCCGCGTCGGTCGGCTCCTGCGGCAGGGCCTCGTCGGTGGCGGCCAGATCGGTGTCGTTGGCGCCGCCGACGACGACGTCGAAGTCGTCGCGCATCGCGCCGTCCTCGCCGACGATGCCGAGGCGGGCGGGAGGGGGAGGGGGGCGGAGGGGAGGAGGAGGCGGCGGCAGCGAAGGTGGGGGCGAGGCATTGGCAGTAGGAGAAGCAGGCGGCGTGGAGGCGGCAGGGGTGGGGATCAGGGAGGGGTCGAAGGAGAGGTTGGCGTTGGGGGAGACGGCGACGGAAGGGGAGCCGGTGGAGAGGAGCGGCGAGGAGGAGGAGGAGGCGGTGGAGGAGAAGAAGAGCAGGCGCGGGGAGGAGTCGGACCAGTGGTAGCCGACGAGGAAGGCGGCGGCGCAGGCGAAGGCGAGGGCCGCAGCGCGGAGGACGCGCGGGCCGCAGAGCAGGTCGGCGCCGTGCGCGCCCAGGGGCTTCATGCTCGCCTCGCCTCGCCTCGCGTCGCGTCGCGTCGCGGTGCGGAGAGCGGTCGGCGCGGCGGTGCCTTGCCGATGCGGGAGGGATGGGATCGTGCACTGCCGGGGACTGAACTGAACTGAGGGGCACTGCTCTGTTATTTTTCACTTGAAAAATCTATCCCCTTCTTGGAGTACTACTGTATAATAATAATTCTTCCAAGTGGGTCCTCTTTGTCAGTGGACGCCCGGGACACCGGCGAATTGAAGTCGGCTTTGCCGTCGCTTCTACCGACCTCGCCGCCGTCGATCGTCGCCTCGTCGGTGAAGGATGGGAAAATGGGTATTTTTGGATCTGGGCTATGAAATTCTCGTTTTCTGCGAGAGAGAGTATTGCTCCTGAAATGGGTGAGCAGGCCTAGAAATGTTGGGCTGGGCAATGAGCAAGAATTTGGAAAAAGTAAACTGAAGGTCCCTAACGCATCCCTCAACTTACAAAACCAGTGCAAACTAGATCCCTCGGTAGTTTTGACTCTGTGTGTTGTCCGACGTGCGCTGACTCGGTGTGGGACCCACATCGGTCTCTTCTTCCCCTCCTCTCCAACTCGCTTCCTCTCCTCTCCTCATACTCTCTCTTCTCTGTATCTATCCACTCTGTCCCATGGGAGCAGCCGAGCAGAGGGGAGCGGAGTAGGTGGAGCAGCGACGCACGAAGCCGGCGGGCGGAGTGGGGCGACGGTGGTGCGTGAAGCCAACGAGGCGGCGACGGGCGAAGAAGGCAGGTGAAATAGGGTGACGGCAGGCGGGGTGGGGCGGAGCGGGATGGCGGCAAGCGGAGCAGCCAGGCGAAGTGGGACAACGGCACACAAAGCTGACAGGGTGACGGTGGGCGAAGCAGGCAGGCGAAGTGGAGCAATCTGTCGCCGGTGCCGATCTCCACAGCTTCGGCGCCCCCCCCCCCCCCCAACTCCCTCTGTCGTCATCATCGTGCCTCCTCCACCGAGCTCCACTCTCGCTGCGGCTGCCGTTCCCGCTTTCCCACCTGCTTCCTGCCGCCGCCAGACGACAACGACGGGTTCGACGAGGAAGAGGATGTGCACCACTTCTTCCTCTTTCATGTCTCCTCCATCTTCATGCCACTGTCCTCTCGCCACATCTGTCGCTACCGTATCATGCGGGCCCCTCCTCTTCTCCTCACTCCCGCCGCACGCCAAGCTCCTCACCCTCCCCTCCCCCCTTCCAACCGCCACACCCCTCCCGGCGCGGCCTCTGCCACTTCGTCGACCTCGACTCCTTCTCGGGAGCGTTGCTCGTCGCGTCGTCCCCGCCCTTCTTGGCGCCCTCCAACCTGCTTGCTGTCCTCTGCACCCCGTCTCCGCCGTCCTCCGCACCGCCCTCTGACCTCGACGGCGTCCTCACCAAGGGCAGCGGCTCGCCGCGCTATCCCCTCGCCATGGGCAGAGGAAATGGGACCCACTACCCGCGCCCAGCTGCTCCCCCACTACTTGTGCCCGCCGGCCCCCACTCACACGCAGCTGCTCCCTTCCCTCCCTCCCCCCAACCGCCCGTGGAGAGAAGAGGAGAGAGGAAGAGAGGTGGAGAGGAGAGGGGAAGAAGAGGCTAACATGCGGGGCCCACGCTGGGTGAGCTGCCACATCGGACAAAACCTGAGTCAAAACCACAGAGGGATCTAGTTTGCACTGGTTTCGTAAGTTAGGGGACACGTTGTATCTGGTTTTACGGTTTAAGGATGATTTTGTAACTTGATGGCAAGTTGTGAGACCTTGGGTGTACTTTTTCCCAAGAATTTTGTGTTCCTTTGATCATACTGGACCTGAGTAAAGCTAAGCCTGCATGGACGTTTTTATGTTTGGGCTGTCCTTGAGGTTGGGTTTGGCCCGTTAAAAGAGCGGTATAATGGGCTTCCAGCTATGCAGTGACCACAATGCGAGTTCTGAATTCTGGATTGCTCCGTGAACTGAAGTACTGCTGAACTGTGACTTGTCCTTGTGAGTTGTGAGAGATGCCTCCCACCGATTCCGATTATGTACATTGCTAACTTAACAATCCCTTGGTTTGAAGCGAAGAATATGGACAACACCGCTGATTTGCCAATTGTCATATACTATATTTTGCTGGTGGCAAACAACAGTTTTACGTGTTCCCTTTGTTACAACGCATCTTACTGAAAAGAGTGAACGCAGTCTTATTTTATGGCGGTCCTAATATCTTCCATTTTCTTGCCAAACATGCTTCTAAAGGAAGGCCTTTTTCCTATGTTATTGCAGTATTGCTACCTGAAGGATGGACACGTTTCCACGGTACATGAAGCACCACCCCATGTAGCATTCTAAAGGGAAAAGTTGCGATTTCTACGAGCAGTCTATCGGAAATTAAACAATCTCATGTAGCAAGAGTGCATGACGCATGTGGATGGTTACAAGAAATCAATAATGCGTCGTCGCATCCCGGGTCTCGCTATCGCGCGATGAATGAGAAAATCACAGGTGGTTGGTTGGTTGGTCGAGAAGCACGATACTAACAAACACAGCAACTCGACCACGGTGCGCCGTACGCTCACCACAGGAGAGGCATCACACGAACGATTTCATTCAGACACCGTGCGTGCACAACGGCTCATGATGGTTAGGCTCCCATATGGCGGGTGCGGGAGGCGAGTCAAGTCAAGTGCTCGAGCGAAAGCAAACGCGAACGGAGGAGGCAGTACACTGGCAGTGGCAGCAGAAGAACATCGTACGCCGGTCGCTTTCCCCTCCTCCCCCACCCGTCGCCGTCGCAGGAGAGGACAAGTGTGACCAACTGGTGACACCCACAGGCACGTTTACCTGTTACCGCAAGAGAGACGTTTTTTCCTCGCACGGCACGCGTGCGCGTGACGTTTTTCTCCCACAACTGCTCGACTCGATCAAGATGACGGGGCTGCTTGCTGCTACAGTGTTGTTGACGCGGCCCCCTTTTTTTCGCTGCTGATTGATGCTTGCGCGGGGCGGGAAACTGAGGCTTCGTGAAGCTTCGAGACGTTGGCCACAAAGCGTCGCATCGCACGCAACCTGGCCCCCGCCACGAAGTGGGCCGATGGCGTCTTGGCGCATCGGCTGGCTGGCGGCCGCCGCTCGTGAGTCTCGTGGCCCCTCGAGCGGTCAAGCCACGGAGGGAGATAAGAAACTCATGATGCGTAGACGAGGTTCGTCACCGGAGCGTTCAGGGCCGAATAATAAACGAGCGCGCACCAAAGCCGGTGCACGGCTGCACGCTGGTCACACGTTCTCACCGCGAGCCTGTGTGTTTACCATTCGATCGGGTCATGTGTGGAGCCAAAAAATGGTTTCGATATTTAGAATATTATTTTAAGGATTAGTTTTACATAAGCAGCTATCTTTTACATTCTAACCCTTTCGAAAAACATATTTCAGAAATGGACGCAAAACTCTACACTAGATATTGTTGACGCCGAAGTTAAACCGCCCACGAGACAACCCACCCTAGTCTGATTGGCATGGGTGAAAAATGTTGTGCGCATAACGAACTACAGTATCGTGTGGATTTCTATTAAAAATATCATGAAATTTATGTATTCCAGACATATAAATCGCACATTAGTGCATATGCCTTTCAGATAAAACATGGTGTTATCAATCGGTGAATCTACTGCACGCCACAATTACGCTACTAAAAGTACTCTTTTATGTATTCATTTTTTTTTTTTGCAACTGGATATAGTTGAACTATTTAAGTTTTTTTTATGACAAAACCTACTTTCTCCGTTTCATATTATAAGACTTTATAGTATTTTTCACATTCATATATATATGTTAATAAACCTAGACATATATGTGTGTTTAGATTCATTAATATCTATATAAATATGGACAATGCTAAAAAGTCTTATAACCTGAAACAGAGGTAGTACTAACTAGATCTAAATTTTAGGCTTAGCACGAATGCTCATGTATACATCAGTAGAGAGACAGGTATGGTAACTTCTTCAGCCTTAAGATATCCCAACCGTCTTCCTCGTACGGGTAAGGTAAGGTGTACGTACGTGCGTCTATAGGGATGAGAGGTAACTCTGTTAATTTCAATCATTTTTTAAATATGTTGGTCCAATTTTTAGAGATGCTCATATGCGTAGAACGTGTGTGCATGTTTATAGAGATGAGTGTGTACATGTGTGTCCGTATATAGGCCTGGTTTAGTTCTCAATTTTTTCTTCAAACTTTCAACTTTTCTACCACATCAAAACTTTCATACACACACAAATTTCCAAATTTTCCATCATATCATTTCAATTTCAATCAAACTTCCAATTTTAGCGTGTACTAAACACGCCCTCTCCCTTATGCCTTTTGTTTTTTTTTCGTACGGTGTTTAAAATCACGATGGTCCAATGGTCCAGGATGTTCGAGCTACCAACATATTACATATAAGCATTTACTCCATTCAATAACCAGCTTTAGATGATATTGCATTCTTAAAAACTGCGAAATAAAACTCCCTACTAAAACTATCCTTATAATTATTTTCAACATTTATTCTATCATATACTCAACCAATCACAATAATTTTGTATTTGATTTATGTATATAACTTTTAACCTCAAATTAATCACTATTATTTATTATTTATAATTTTTTACCTCAAACAATCACAACTACTCGTATGTTTTTCTTATTTTATTTTTTTTGAAAATTGATAAAAGTAGCTAGTATAATATACTCCCACCGTTTCACAGTGTAAGTCATTCTAGCATTTCCCACATTCATATTGATGGAAGTAGACATACAGTTGTACTCCATCATATAGGAAAACAAATTGCCATTCCATCGGGAAAAGGCGGTTTAGAGCATGTACAATAGTCGGCTATAAGCCAGCTATAAACATATTTAAAAGAGACAAAGGAAGAGAGAGAAGAGCAGCGGGCTGCAGTACGGACTCCAAATCGTACAATGTGTATGACAGGTAGGACCATGTATTAATAGTGTAGTAAGCAACTATTGTATGAATTGGCTATAAATGATATGGAGCTAGTTGTTGGCTATACTATTAAACTTGCTCTTAGAGCAGGTACAATAGCAGGCTATAAGCTAGCTATAAACATATTTTAAAGAGATAAAGGAAGAGACAGAAAAGTAGCGGGCTACAGATCTGTAGCTGGCTGTAGCACGGACTCCAAGACGTAATGTGTGTATGACACAGGTGGGACCAGATATTAATATTATAGTAAGCAACTATTATATGAATTGGCTATTACATTGGCTATATATGATTTGAAGATAGTAGTGGCCTGTACTATTAAACTTGAGCAATTCTACGGTTCTTAAGAAGGTACCATGAGGTATCATTTTTTTCTATTGTAAATTTAGTACCTCTTGGTACCTAGATACTATGAGATACCAAAAATTTAGTATAAAATCTGATATCTCATATTACCTCCTCAAAAACTGTAGAATTGCTCATTAAACTTACTCTTAGGAAGGCTACCAGCAAATTTAATTGGTGGATGCGGCGCCGGGGAGTCAAATTGCAGCCGGCCACGTTTTCCCTGGCCGCGTCTCCTGGCTCCGACCCGCACGACGTGGCCTCTCCCACGGGCCGACACGTAGCCCCTCCAAGCCCTGGGCCTCAAACCTTTCCAGAAGCTTCCGGCCGTTTCCTGGCCAGGAATTCGCCGTCCCGATCCAGCGGCCCGCCGAGCGCCACGTGTCTGGGGCCCAGCCACGTCGGCATCCGACGTGGCGCCCCCGGCCCCGGAGAAACTGATACG